TTTTAATGAAAACATATTAAATGCATGGTCTATGAAGAAAATAATTAATTTATAAAATATTCTTAGATCAATAAATAAAGAATAAAATGACTTACATCAACTTACATGTTGCTTTTGCCTTGTAGTTTAGAGTAACGTGCTTGAGTGGTCTGACTTTACTATTATCATCGAGTTATTATCTGCCAAAGAGAATTTATCATCATGTGAGAGATTAACACAATTACCCCTACTAGTTCAATGTTTGTCTTTTAATTATTATTAAGTTGTACGAGGTGTCTACCTCCACCAATATGAATCACATTAAGAGAATGCATTATGTCGTGGTTTCAAAGTTGGTTAAGAGATCTATGTAGCCTTGAGTGTGGACTCACTCCCTTGCAAAACAGAGCCAAGGGTCGGGTATGAACGTATAAGGTCATGTGATATTCTTAATTTAAGAAATGTTGACCAGTACAACACATTTGTTGAGTTTTCGTGATTGATTAATGTCTTTCTGACCTTGTAGTTAGTTATTGTGACTGTGACAAACCAAGTCATCCTGTGTTGGCTCATACTTCTCATAGTATGCCTTGGAGAAAGTGATGCTAGGGAAATCTGGTATTAGGATCAATTTGGATATGGTACACGACACATAGGTGTCTTTTTCGTGTCGAGCTGGTTGGTCCTCTGCTGGCAAAGCCTCATATTATGGTATTAATTATTCTTCGTGTTAAGGTATAAGATGTCTAAAATGGCCTAGTTTGAAGTTTGATCATCATTGTGTGCATTGTGACGGTCGGTTCTAAGTTAGGTGTGGTGAAGTTGGTGGTTGTAAACCTCTCTAGAAGCTTTTGTAGTAACTCCTTTTTTCCTTGCCTAATATTTTTGAAGGCTGTTAAGGTAGCCATATGAGGTCTACTTGTGGCAAACTGAGTTAAGTTTCTAAAACAAGTGATGAATTCTTTTGACAACTCCTAATACCATTAGAGTGCAATGCCCTTAAGTGTGGTCAGAAAAATCCAACATTTGATAAAATCTTTGTCTAAGTATATTTTTATATGTGTGAGGTAAGCTTGGATATGCTTCTTGGGGTCTAAGGTTCTAACATAGGAGTCAATCGGTGGTACGCGCTAATTTTGAGGAAGAGGTTCGTTAAGCATTAATGACGCAAATGGGTGCTCATATTTCTCCTGAATTTGTATCGGAATTTGAGTTGACCCGCCTTCCATTTTGGTTTTCTTTGACTCAGCTTCCTTTTCAACATTAGTCTTTTATGACTCAGTGTTGAACTTTTACTTGTCGCTAAGCTTCTTTGGCTCGAGGTTTTAAGAATGAGAGTAAGATTCTGCTTTGGTATTTATTGGTGATCTCGTTAATTTTGTCACGCAAAGCTTTAAGCTCTTCTTAGTGTTTTATCTTATCACACGATGAACGTCAAATATTGTTACATGAATAGGATGAGAACATCTAATCTTCTTTATAGAAGGTTGAGTAGGTATAGATAGAATAAGGGAGATACCTACAAAAGTATGTGAATGAAAATGAATAAGTGAAATTAAAATGAGTGAAAAAAAGGAGATACTAAACTTATTTATATAAAAATAAGATATTATAAATAATCTATAATGATGATATATTTAATCCTTATTTATTAGCAAGTATTTTGAATAATTTCCTAATATCTCTGGATAAGTTGGAATTTAAATATCAGATTAATAATCTTATCAATTATGATATTTAATTATTTTAGGCCAATTAAATAAATTAGTTATATTTATATTTATATTAGATGAGTGGTAATATATTCTTTTACGTGTAAAGGATGAATGTTTAATTTAGGGTTGTTGAGAAATAATTGAATTATACTTACAAGAAATTTTAATATTACCGACGGTCAAAATCAGTTCGGTAATAACAAAAATTCGTCGCGACGAATATATCTGTCGCTAAATGTTTTACAAAATTACCGACTGACGAGAATCATGTCGGTAATATTTTTATTATTTATTAAATATTTTATGTATATAACTTGCGGGATTCAAACCCAATACCTTAGAATTAGAGTACGCTACTCCAACCACTAAGCTACCATAATTTTTTGATAATAATTTACAAATAAATTATATTTATATATTTATATATTTATATTTATGTATTTATATATTTATATATTTATGTATTTATATATTTATGTATTTATATATTTATATATAATTAAATATTTATTTTTTTAATTATTTAATTTAAGAAATTATTATAAATTAATCTAATTATGATTAAATTAAATTATTAAATAAAAAATATTTAATTTTTTAATTAGGTGAATATTTACTAATTGTTAATTTACTGACGAAAATATCGATCGATAATTTACGGATGAATTTACCGATGGATATATCCGTCGTTAATTAATTGTTAATTTATCGACAGATTTACCGACGGATATATCCGTCGTTAAATTTATCTCAGAATTACCGACGGATTTATCGACGGATATATCTCGCTGGTAACTAATTATTATTTTACCGACGGATATATCCGTCGGTAAAATCAAATTCCACAAATATTTTATATCCGTCTGTAATAATTATTTTTCGACTGCTACAAATCCGTCGGTAAAATCAAATTCCACACATATTTTATATCCGTCAGTAATTTCGTCGATAATAATTATTTTTTGATCGGTTACAAATCCGTTTAATACGCGATTTTCTTATAGTAAGTTAACCTATATGTAAAATACATTTTCTTATATTGTAAAATTGAAACTAATTACTTTATAACTTAGCTTTTTAAAATTTACTCAACTAATTTAACTACATTTATGATATTTTTTTAAAATATATATAAAAATGTCCAAAACTAAAATCATGAAAAAACGAAACATAAACAACAATATCTAGGTATAAAAAAGTTTAAAGATTATAAATACAAACCAATATATGTATTTTCGTGATAACAACCAACATAATTTGCTTTTTTATTAAAAGTACAAGATTCTATATGGTGTTAATATGTGGTTTTCCACTTTTTTTATATATATAGTATTATATTGTTTAATAAATTTTAATTCTTCAAATTTAATTATTTTGAAATAAAATATGTGAAAGATATTTTTTTACTGCAACTGTCACAATTAATAAATTTTAAACTTTTCCTTTTTAATAATTTATAAAATACGTATTCTATTTTGTATGTATTTATAAATATTTAATATAAGACTCTACTGCAAATAAATTATTCCCTCGGTTTATAATGACAATAGTTTTAGTTGTCAAAATAATTATACAATCAATTGGAATTAAATATTAATTTTTATTCTTAATTTCCATTGAAATTTATCTTTTTTTCCCTCAAAAAAAATGTATTTACTGAAAAATAAGGTTATTCTAGAAAAAATATTATAAAATTAACATACTAATAATTTTCCTTAATTTGTAAGAAAATGCTCAACGGTGTTTTTTACATGATGAAAATAGAAATAAAAATGTTAATTTTTAAATATATTACTGCCATAATATACAGTTATTTTTGCTATGTCAGCATATGAATCACTAAACAAACTGAAGATTTGCCACGTGTCTTTGTTAAAAATATTTTTACAGTGTTTATCATCTTAAATCAAGTATTGATCGTCTATTGTATTAAATAATAAATATTCGTATTGGTGAGTTTCATCCGTCTACAAAATAGTTAATATAATTTATTGTTTAAAATTTTGTTTTTATTTTAAATTGTTAAGTGGTCTACATTATCCATTTACTTACACTTTATATTTCCATGTATAATATTTTAAAAAATTGAAATAAATGTCGACAACCTTTTTGTAATTATAAAATATAAATAGTATTAAAATTAGATTTCAACTCATTTATTATGTAACTATAATACATAAAAAAAACATTTTAAATATACATATTTAAAATATTGTTATTATGTTAATTTTTTAAAGTATTTTCTAAAATATTTCAAATTTATTTGTTGATCTTTAACTTATTTTTTATTATAATATACATATTTTTCTATTATATTAAGATGATATTATCTACGTAGATAACAAAATATACTTAGCACATATTATTTATCAATATTATAGTTAATATGATATGCATTTTCACCTAACGTACACATAAAAAATTGACATAATTAGTTAGAGACTTAATAGAAAGCATTTAATCTATTCAATATTAAATTTTAAGATTTTGAATTAAATATTTTAAACAAAAATTAATAATATACTAAAGCCGAAAACTTATTTAACTCTCCTAAAAAAGGACGCAACTTATCCACCAAGCTAAAAAAACCTACTACAAAAGTCAACAAACAAATACAACTGAAGATATCTCACAAAAAGGACATAGTAAAGAGAGTATTCCATTGTGAGGGAAAAAAAAAACATGAACGTGCCTTTGATTTTGTCTTGCTACGTACATTGTATTCCAAGTGGCAAAAAATTATGAACAGTCTCAACACGACTATCTATGACGCTATTATGGTCATGTTGGCGAGTGACAGTGACAAACGCACCTGCTGAATCACCCCACGTGGCAAGCCCCAATAAAATATTGGCAAAGATTCTCAATCCAATGGCCCAGATCACACGATCTCCTGCGCCCGCGAGATCCAAACCCCGTAGCCCAGGCCCAACAACCACTCCCAGATTCCCACACCGTATCACTCACACAGTAGCAGAAACAAATCTCAGAAAAAGTGCCTCGGGTTCGTTAACATATGCGTCGAACCGCAGAGAAAATTCCGCGAAATTTCTCAGATTCTGCACTTTCTTCTTTTCCTGAGGATTTTCAACTTTCTGCTTTTCTATCCGCTCGCGTTCCATCGAATCCGTGACAGTTACACGTCGTTTCCTTTCTCTCTATTTTTTAAAAGGATTTAACGAGTGACGACGAAAATCCGGCAGCAGAGTCCGTTTGGTTGCTGAGAAAACGGAGGAAAAGTAGCGTGGTGGTGTGAGATTCTTTTCTTTCACTTTCTCTGCAAGCAAACGGTGAGGAAGTAGAATAATGCAGACGAGGTACATGGAGAGATCGAGCAGCGCCGCCAGGGAGAAGCGCAGTTTAGATTCAGGTTCCACCGAGGAAGATCAACCTGAAAAAAAGCGACCTGCTCTTGCTAGGTGAATCATTTCTTGTTCTTAATATTGTCTATCAGCTGTAGTGTAGTGACTATAATAATGAGTATTTGTTTCATTAGCTGTAGTTATGCATTATTCATAGTCACTGTTGACCAATGTGTTGGTAGTTCAAGTAGAACTAACTCACTTTGAATTTTGAAGTTAGTTTTTTAGTTCAAATTTTGTGTATAAAATAATCATGACGTGAGTAACCAATTAAGCTATCGACAAAGTTTAATCATAACAAATTTGGTGGATTTCTCACCAATAACATGCATGATAACCCAAATATATAGTCACTGTCATGCAATTTCCAGACAAAGAAATATATATAGATTCGTTCTATGTGTGTGGTCCAATTGAGAAAGCCTTGGTAAGTTAATTAATTGAAAGTATGTTTTGAATTTGATGGGAATTAACCATTACTATAGAGGAGTACGTGACGGGAATAAATCCGGTTAACTACGTGGAATGGATGTTTTACATACTGCTACTGTTTGGGGGGAGTCTCGTACCAGATTAGGTGAATGGAACTAAATGTGAAGTTGTCGTCATTATATTTTATTCTAAACTATAGGAATGGGCGAATTAGATCTTTGGTTGTCTAAAAGCGAGGTTTAGATGAGATGAGAGGGAATTAGAGATTTATGACCAACAAAAGAAGTTGAATATGATTAAGAGAACCAAAATTGTGTTTGACTTCCCTTTATTATTAAGGTTACCAAGAAAAAACTCTAATTTGATTAGAAACAATACCAGCAATATTTATGGAGCTGCCTGCCTTGTTATCACGGTATTATCCCTTATATGTTCATATGCTAAAGCTTAATTATTAATTTTTCTGTTGAATGAATTTAATGTTTTTCTTTATTTATTCATGTCAATTTGCAGTGTAATTGTTGAAGCCCTCAAGTTGGATAGTCTACAGAAACTATGTTCATCATTGGAGCCTATTCTTCGTAGAGTGGTAAGAAAATCAAGTTCATTGTGATATTGATTTGCTGCTGGGTGGATCTATACTTTCAAAGTTATCACTTGTGCAATTAATCATCACTTGATCATCCTTGAACAGAAACTCTGGGTTTCTAGCCCATTTGAAAATCCTTCTGTCCTTTAGGATGGTAGGCTTGGCTAAAACCAAGATGTTAGTCGTGCCAATTTTGTTAGGCTTAAGATAAAATTGGGTATATAGAGGACAAAATATCACGTCTTCAACCTTAACAAGCTGAAAAAGGTGAAGTCTTTTATTTGTTCTTAAAAAATATAGTTCTAGTGAGAAAGGCTACCTGAAATAATATGTATTTTCCTCACTCAAGCGCTATTTTGTAAAATTGTGATAAAGTCCATCATTCTGTCATGTCGTGTATTTATATGCTTAGTATTGTCAACTAGAATTCAATGGAACAACTACCTAGGTGAAGTGAATCTAATTATATGTTTGCCACACTGCATGAATGATGTTTGATCATGGATATATCTCATATCTTATTCTTGTTTCCTGCTCAACAGGTTAGCGAAGAAGTAGAGTGTGCTTTAGCAAAATTAGTCCCTGCCAAGCTTAGTGGGAGGTAATATTCGTCACCTCAAGTCAATTTCGTGACCCATATTTGTTTGAAATTTTTTATCTTTTCCAAATGTATTTGTATCTATATTTTATTTTTCTAATACTCAAACTAAAATGCAGGTCTTCTCCCAAGAGCATAGAAGGCCCTGATGACAGTAGTCTACAATTACAATTCAGGAACAGGTTATCCCTTCCCCTCTTTACTGGTGGGAGAGTGGAGGGAGAGCATGGCAGCGCTATACACATCGTTTTGATTGATATAATAACAGGCCATGTTGTCACATCTGGCCCAGCTTCATGTGTCAAACTAGATGTTATTGTACTTGAAGGAGATTTCAATAACGAGGATGATGAGAATTGGAGTGAAGAAGATTTTGATAGTCACGTAGTTAAAGAGCGAGAAGGAAAGAGACCTCTTCTGGCTGGTGATCTGCAAGTGACACTGAAGGAGGGTGTAGGGACACTGGGTGAGCTTACATTTACAGACAACTCTAGTTGGATAAGGAGTAGGAAGTTCAGGCTGGGGCTCAAAGTTTCCTCAGGTTGTTATGAGGGAACGCGTATTCGTGAAGCCAAAACAGAGGCTTTCACTGTTAAGGATCATCGTGGAGAACGTAAGTACATAACTTCATTACTTTTGTTCTACCCTTCTTCTGTCATGAAACTTACACTGGATTGCAGTATACAAGAAGCACTACCCACCTTCCTTGAATGACGAGGTCTGGAGACTGGAGAAGATCGGCAAGGATGGTTCATTTCACAAAAGGCTAAATAAAGCAGGAATATATACAGTTGAAGATGTCGTACGACTTGTGGTCAGAGATCCACAGAGATTGCGGAATGTAAGAATTTAGTCAATTTTTCTGAGGGGGAGGAGTTTTTAGTTTGATTTGACATGATTTAAAATTTTATATATTCAAATTCACGGATTAACTATCTTATGTAGATTCTTGGGAGTGGTATGTCAAATAAAATGTGGGATGTTCTTGTTGAGCATGCAAAGACTTGTGTTCTCAGTGGAAAACTCTATGTGTACTATCCCGATGATTCAAGGAATGTTGGTGTTGTTTTCAATAACATCTATGAGTTGAGTGGTCTAATTACCAATGACCAATATTACTCTGCTGATTCTCTCTCTGGCAGTCAAAAGGTAACTGAACCTATACTGTAAATTTTGCATTTATCTTTGAATTGGGACTAAACTGCTGTATTTCTTCCATTATATGCTGAATCTGATTTCTCATGTCACTTGTTAAAGTATGGTTCATTCTTGCGGCTTTGTTATTTGTAAAACCAATTCTTTATCTTGAAGGAATCCGACTCTGAGGAAGAATATCAAACTTAATTGCATCTGATACTTGACTGCAAATCATTTCGCTTTTATCTTGGAGTTCTTGCAGTATAGCTTGAAACTTATTGCTAGTTTAAGATGTTGGTCTTGCTCAGTAATAGGATATCCGCCTTATTTTGTAACTATAGTGAACAGATTAAATATACTAGGTCTCATAAAGGTGGGAAATTCTTAGTATAAATATACCACTCATATTCTAGGTCTCATAAAGGTTGGAAATTCTTCTCTTATAGGAAGGGAAAGGAAAAGTCAAAGTTAAAAAAGTTTACCTTTTTTTTTTCAAAGAAAAAGGTGAAATTTCTGAAAAATGTGAGTTTCTCATCCATGTAGGTTTATGTGGACACATTGGTGAAGAAGGCATATGAGAATTGGATGCACGTTATTGAGTATGATGGCAAGTCTCTGCTAAATCACAATCAGAATAAGACTTTGGGCACCTCCCAACCTCTGGCTCCAGTGGGCTCCCATGATTATTCAATTTCAAACTCACTTGATCAGCAGACCTCCATCCCAAGTCTACCAATTCCTGTAACTACTGGGCAGCCTTCAATGGATCCAGCCGTAACAGTCGGAGGTATATTGTCCTAACTAAAATATTATATAGTAGAGTTAAATGTGGTGTACTTTTCCTCGAACTTGGTTTTGGTTCTTCTAATTTAAAAATTGATTAATTAGTCTTTAAATTTTTTAAAAATTAATTTAAATTTAGTTATTTTATAAACTTTATAATTAAAAAAAAACAGTTGTTAAATGTTAAATTTAGATATAAAGAATGAATAAAATTACATATGTGAATCTATATTTTGGAGTGGAGTGCATGCTAAGATATTAATGCAACAGATTTGTTATGTGTCATATTTTCAAACCATTATCCCTTGGGAATAATGTTACCTAAAGAGTACGATAGCATTCCGTGATATTTAGTGAGTTAGTTTTACCATACATCAGTAGGCAGAATATTTTTCTCAGCATCGATTTTCTCCTCAAAATAATGGTTTCAGACCGATTATTTTGGTTGCTGACTACATATGAATAATTTGTGCAGGTTATCATAATGTCGCGACTACCAGATGCTCAATGCATCCACAGAATGATAATTTTCATTCTTCTATTGAGTTTGATAACACTGCATTCCCACTGCAAAACCAACTAATGAATGGTTCACTCCAATGTCAACTTCCTACAAATGAAAATGGGCTGACTCTTGGTTCACGACAATCAGCTACTCCTGGCTTTCAGAATGTCAGCATTTCGAATCCTACTTATAGAGGACTTGAAGACTACATCCCAGAGGAGGAGATTCGATCTAGAAGTCATGAGATGCTGGAAAATGAAGATATGCAGCATCTGCTTCGTATATTTAATATGGGAGGAGGGCAATCTCATGCTTCCTTTAATAATCCAGAAGATGCATACCCTCCTTATTCATCTACTTATATGCCTGCGACCTCCGTGAGCTACAACTTAGATGATGAACGAAACCGTTCCTCAGGAAAGGCTGTTGTGGGCTGGCTTAAGCTTAAAGCAGCTTTGAGATGGGGCATTTTTATTAGGAAGAGGGCCGCTGAGAGACGGGCACAACTTGTTGAGTTGGATGACACATAGAATATGAATTCAGATCAACCTCACCTGTTATGATCTTCGGGCTATAACTTCTGTGGTTAGAGCATGAAATACATCTTTCTGGTACTCAGAATAGCTATCATGCTGAAGCTTTAGAACATGATTAAATATGAAATCTGGATTGAATAATTTGGTGCAGCCATAACTTAAAGCTCCTAATGTGCCTTTATAAAACAGTTGTACAGCAAAATCTGCCGGTACAGGTATACCACCCTGCAACAACTATTGTATTTGTTTTACTAGTGATGTTTTTTCCACTCTACATTCTTGCCTGCAATACCACCAGGTTTAAACCCAAGTCTGCAGTGGCTTGAAATTGCCAGGGTCTCGATCTGGAAACTCGAAAAACTGGGGTCGTTTCTTTGCATTTAGCAGGATGTACTGAATCTTGTATTGTAAGCTAGATGGGTTGATTCTAACTGGTTTGTGTTGTGTGTAATTGCTTTGTGGTACAATAATTATAATAATTACCGAACCGCCGAATTTGAAACTGCTATTTTTGCTTATTTTGCTTTTTGAAATTTTTAGCAGATATGTAATTCTGCATGCCTCGTTAAAAGTGAGAAAGAATGAACCACATTCACGTTTTACTGAGAATTGCACATTTTACAGTTCGTACGTCAAGAGCTGATTTTGAAAGTCCATCTTTTGTTTCTATAGCTTTTCATGGTTCTGGGATGGGTTAGAATCTAGAGTTGTTGAGTCGGTTCCTTTAATCCAACAAACAATGAGTGAATGGGTTATTGGCGCTCTCATATACCCCTACTTTCATTCGTTATTTTTTAATTTTACTCTATTTTTCAAATTCATTCTTGTTCCAGTTTTTCTTTTGACAAAGTTTAATTCATTTCTTTCATATATCACACGCTAAATAAAAAAAATGATAAAACATAAAATGAAATGAAAAATTACTATAAATGCATTTTACTTTTATCTATATATAAGAAAGAAAAAAAACATCTATAGTAGTGGTATAATTAATTGATGAAAACATTTTAATAACTTCCCCACAAAAAAAAGTGTTCTATTATTATGTTACAAAAACTAAATTTGAGAAAAATGTTTTCTATTTAAATTAACTTTGAATGGACGTAAAATGAAAACATAATGATATAGTTCATTTCTGTGAATGAAAACAAAGATTCAAATATGTAAATATATATGTACAATTGAAAAATTAAGGCAGACTTCAAAATAAATAAGAAAAAGAAAAACACAATTTAAATAATCAAGATTTATATATAATAAAAGTATGAATAAGTCCAAATATATATATATATATATATATATATATATATATATATATATATATATATTATCAGTCGCATGGTTTATTCTTTATCTTCATTAATTACTATTTTTAAATTTAATTATTAACATTAAATACTCTTATTACTCATTAGAACTATTAAATTTTAAAAATATATATAATAGTAATGGTTTAGATTTATTCTTAGAGTAGCTTAAGAGAAAGTTGATTTTTCGTCCAATATAAATAATTCAAATCTTACAATTCTACTACTAGTAGTTACTCGATCGTAAATTCACACTCCTAAAAAGGCTATCTGTATCCTCCAAACAATCCCAAAATATAAAAAACATTTTCTAATAAATTTTATTACATTTTAACGTACTATATGCCGAATAAACCCTTTAATAATGTAAAACAAGCCAAACTCCTAAATCTTTAAACTTTGGGCTAAAAATGAAAAACAAAAAAAAAACTACAAATCAAGTAATGACGAAGGAAGAAGAAACACTCACCTTGAGGCACTTGTCTACGATGACAAAATGTTTACTCCGAGTGTAAATATCCACTTATCTAGGGGATAAGTATGATATGATCATTCATCCGCAAATTTTAGTTAGAATGGATATTATAATATCCATTTACGCATTATTATATATTCATAATATCCATTTACACTTTTTCATTCAAAATTAAAGCTGCCTTGATTTCAAATATTAATGTTACATTTAATATTATTGAGCCAGCAATTATCTAGATTTTAAATATACAAATTAAATATAATAGTAATTCTTGTTTTTAATAAATTAGTAAGAATAATATAATTAATATCTTTAACAAATTGAATATATAAGTGGAAGTGAAAATATATGCACTATCACACTTATATTCAAATTTGTTTACTAAATAGTTTTTTCTTTCACTGTAATAGTTATTGTTTTAGACTCTGTTTTTTAGAAGAAGGCAAATGTCTTCGTTCACAAGGATATTTAAGTAATGAATTGGACTGATTCGAAAATATCAATATTCAACGTCTTAAAATGTAATTTTAACCCCTTATTTATACATGAATAACTAACGATCAAACATATGTTATATCTATCTATTAGTAAATACGGCACCACCATTATGAGTAATAAAAGACCTAAAAGAAAAATTCATCTTTATTTCAAACAAGCATCATTAAAATCTTCATTTATCTACCAAAGCATTATCCAATGAATTAATATATTGCATGTGTAACAAAACAAAGTACTTCTTAATTTTTGCATTATTCATATTATATGGCGGGAATAACTTATTTGTCATTTTTTTGTCTATTAACTTGTTTGTTAAACAAACAAGCACAAATAAAAATTTTGGAATATTAACTAATATGTCAATATTGCATTTTTTATATTTGTATAGGTGTCAACTTTGGAAGTTATATAACTTAGTGTTTTTCAAACAATGTAAATTAATTCATCCAATCAGTTAGCCATATAAATAGTCAAAGTAATCTACCAAACGTATTAAGTTATACAACCTATTTAAATTATTTTAATTAATTTGTGTTAATCAATTTTTATTAACATATTTTTTTAATAATAGGTATTATGACATTTATCTATTATGAGTCATGAGAGACGTCAATAAAAAAACAGTATTGTACATGTAAATGAAGAAATGTTGCTTTCATACAATGAGGTACCAATTAATGTAGATGTGATAATTACAAAATAATGTCATGGTTCTATTCTATATATAAGAATGTGTTTTGAAAATGTAGATGCAATTAAGTCATTTTATCGACAGTAAGCCATTAAAAAGGATTTTGACACAAAAACTATAAGTTTCAAGAAAGGGCATAATAACTAATTGTGTGACTTCATATTGGTATGTGCAAAAGCGGGGTTAAGTATGTTTCTCCTATACCAACCAAAATTAAGACTCATTCTACTAAACACAAATGAAACGCATGGATAACATTAAATGAAGGTTTATGCTATATTATATTCATACATGATAAACATTCTCATTTACTAACTCTACTCTTAAACATAAAACGAGAAAAACTAAACCTAACCTTCAATTCACAAAAACTGAACTTAATCTTCGATTAAGAAAAATTAAATCTAATCCTTAATCAATAAAACTTAACCTAACCTTCAATCGAGAAATAGTGAGAGTGAGCACAACAGATACCATAAAACAAACGTGTGGAATGTTTAAGACAACGACAATAATGACAAGAGGATAGATGACAATCCAAGCAGAAGCAAAAAGTAAGTTACAATAACTACACTAACAATAATTAAGTGATTGAAAGTGATAACGAATAAAAGCAGAATAAATGAGGGTAAAAGAGATGATAAGTGAGAAATAACATAAAAGAGTAAAAAACAAGGACAAATATAAAGATTAAAGAAAATAAATAAAGAGAAAGATAAATATATGAAGGGATAAAAAAACTTGTAATAAAATAATTATAATATTATTTTATTTAATTATAAAAAATATATTTAAATTAGGATATCAATATATCATATCCTTCTCATAGTCACTCTCACTCTCTTTTATTTTTATATATATATAATAAACATTAAACATATTTCTTCTAATTCTCTACGTGCTAAATACATAAAATTCATGTAATAAAATATATTATAAATATATATATATAATAAACAGTAAACATATCTCTTCTAATTCCACGTATTAAATACATAAAATTCATGTAATGAAATATATTATAAATAAAAAGGTGTAATAACTAGATAATTCTTTCATTGTTATTCACAAGTAATTTTATTTATTGTACTAACTTTATATATATATATATATATATATATATATATATATATATATATATATATATATATATATATATATACACGTTTATATTTTTAATTTTATTATTTTTTTCTTGAATACAAACTATTTATATTTAGTTACTTAAACTTAGAAAATATTGCCATAACATACGAAATATATTGAATAAAACTTATTTTATTTTTAGATGTTTATGTGATAGAATGAAAAGTTCATCAATTATTTTATCACATTTGTATTTGTAAATTGTTACTCATAGTTATCTACGAATTTGACAACTTTTTTTTTATTTCATGTCAATTTTATCTATTAAATATTAATAGTTTATAAAAATATATTTTTATCTTTATTTAGTAATTCACGTAATTTATTTAAAATATATTTAATGAGAATTATTTAGAAGAACATTAACAAAATCTTAGAAATAAAATATATTATTTTAATATAAATTTCACATTCAGAACTATTAACAATTTTAATAACTGCAATAATAAAATTTACATTAAAATAATATATTTTATTTTTAAAATTTTCCTACGAATTTCCACGAATGTACATTTAGACGTTCATTAAAAAAAAAAACACACACACACAATTTCATTGGTTTTTTAAATGTCCCATTTGATTTTTAAAATCTATTTTTGTTCTTTTTTTTTTCAAACAAAATTTATGTTAGAGATGACAATTAAACTCGTGTTTGTAGGGATTTGACGAGAAAAAGCGAAGTTAACTGGGGACGAGTTCAAATTTTTTCCACTTTAAAAAATCGAAGATAGGATGAGTAATACAATCTTCACTCGATCCCATCCTAACTTTATATTTAAATTTAAATTTTAAAATATTTTATTTTATTTTTCTATTATCTACTTTTATTTTTTATTTTTTATATCAATTAATTTATTATATTATTATTTTTTCTTGTCTTTCAATTTTTCACATTTCTTTAATCTCTCTAATTTATTTATTTATTTTTTCAATTTTTTCAATCAGATGAACACAAATTTTTTTTTTCTTCTTTATCTTTTTTTTTAATATTTTACATAAATTTTAAGAGTAACTAATATTATTTTATTTATAATTTATATTTATTAAGTTTTATTATGTCATTTTTTTATCTTATTATTCTTATTTATATCAAATTTTATCTTAATAAAATAATTGTATTTTAAATAATTTTAAAGAATTAATAATTTAAATTTTTATTACTTCAAACTAAGTAAGAATTACCTTATTAAATATTTTCTTATAAATTATATATTTTATATTTTTAAATAACAATTTAAAAATGAATTATATGTAATCAAATATTTAAATACAGTATTATAATAATAATAATATTATTATTATTATAATAAGTATTTTGAATATAATGTTATTATAATAATAATATTATTATTATTATAAATATTTTATATAATATATGAATAAAAATGGTTAAATATTTTTTTTACATAAATATTTTAATATAATATAATAAATGAAAATATATATTTAATTAATAATAATTAAAATATACATTTAATTAATAATAATTATAAATTATAAAATTATAAAATTATAAATATTTATTTATAAATAAAAAATATATAAAAATATAGTAAAATTAATTTTTTATAAATATAATTATATTTTTTAAATAATATAAAATAAAGAAATTCAAATCCTAATAAAAATAGGAATGAAAACCTAATTTTTAATTTCACGATGATATGGACGGGGATGAAGATGAGAACGGGGGCAGAGAAAACCAACCCGGTGCCATGCGTACTTATTGCCACAAACCTCAATGCATAATTTGTGTAACGTTTTTTTCCCCAAGAAAATTGACCAGTGACAGACACAGTTAGAAATGAAATTGAGTATAAATTTGAATTTCGTAACAATTTTTAATTTTTCAATTATACATGTATGGAATTCAAAGTTATAACGGAAGGTCAAACTCCTGGTCCTATATGAATTATATTTCTCACATGGAAAGCACGTTACTTCTCAAAACTTAAAAAACAGATTATTTATAACAATGAAAGTTATATGATTAAAAAAAACAAAATGATAAGAAAAAAACGTATACAGTTCTTTTATAAATTTTTTATTTCTGAAAAAAAAATTAATACATTAGTTTTCAACTGTCAAATTAGTATAATTAAAATATATATTGAAATTAATAAGTGAGTTTATTTGACATTAAAAAAATGTATGTAACAGTGAGAAGTTAATGCCTCAAAACCAGGCCATGTTTGGAAAAGCATGCAAGTAATGATAACAAGCAAAACGACATGGCCTCAAAGTGGAGCACATGTCGTTTCACGAGCTTGACCAGGGATCCCAGATGCCACGTCACTGTTACAGTGAATGTATCTTTGTTCCAAACCTTCAAAAAGAAAAACACAGCACAGTTTGGTGTTTGCATCAGCAACATCGTTTAATGTATCATCCTTAATAATTAATTCATGCGAGTTGAGTTGTTCCGCTATAAAAAAAATCTCCGATGCCCCCACACTTTTTCATCAGGTTCTGGGTTGATCATTGTATGAAACCTGAGAACCAATCATTGTTAATTTTTCCTTCAAAATTTCTTCCCCAGTTTCAATTCTTCATCTCACAATGGTGAAACTCCAAACACTGTGCGGATCCAAGAGACCCAGAAGCGTCTCCCAGCCTCAGCCGCATCTACTGTCTTCTAATATTTTCCAACATCTTCCATTTGAACTTGTGGAGGAGATTTTCTCTTTCTTACCCATCAAAGAGGCAAAGCAACAATGCATTCTCTCATCGGAGTTTCGGATTCCCACCCATATCAGTCGCAAATTCTTGTTCGGAAGAGATTTTACGACGCGACGCAGCCGAGAGTCCCTCGTTGAATTGGTGGATCACCTCTTTGTGACTCACAGGGGTCGTTACATCGATTCTTTTCAAATCTATATAGACCCTGTTGGGGTTGAAAACTTTCTTCACAAGTGGCTCAAGATTTGCCGTGAGAAGAGAATTCAGGATCTCGAGTTATTTTTTTATGAACCTGGGTACACTCTCACCGCAGATTTTCTCAACCAGCTCTATAAATTGAGCACCTTGAAATTGGTCCATTGCAAGTTGGAGTTGCCACTTAACCTCCAAAGTATGGTCAATCTGAGAACTCTGATTCTGTGGTTTGTCCCTCTCACAGATGAAAGCATTCATTCTTTGATATCTCATTGTAGGCAGCTTGAGACTGTTGATCTGCTTTACTGTACTGGACTTTTGTGTGTGGAAATATATGCTAAGGAGCATAGATTTTTCAAAAAGTTGAGAATTGCTGGATGTAAGAATTTGGAAGTGTTTCTGGTTGATTCCCCAACTATTGAGTGTGTGCACTATTGTGGGCATGTCCCAAGAATCCGGTTTATTCAGACAACTCAACTGAATGAGGCCTATCTCAATTTTGTGCCTGCTGGGAGCAGAAGGTATTTGCAGGCTTCTGTGCTGGAAAAGCTTGTCAGTGACATCTCTCATGTCAAAGTTCTATCAGCTTCTGCTCTAATTCCTGAGGTATATATATATATATATATATGTTATGTGTTTCTAGTTTATTTGCAGGCTTCTGTGCTGGAAAAGCTTGTAATATGCTCTCGAGACAATCTAAGTTTTAATTCAGTGGTCTGTGTAGCTCAGGAACTGCATATAGATTTTATATTTTTTATAGATTGAAGTTGAAAATTTTATTTTAATCGGAATTCAGGCTTTAACTGCTAAGTTTCGTGGTGGAGTTTTTGGAGAGGCGCGCTACAGTTTCTTGAATCTTCTGGAGCTTCATTTGATCATGGAGGGGGCACTTTTCTGCAATCCATATGATATTCTCGTGTTTATGAAGCATTGCCCTCTCATGGAGAAACTTTTCATTGATGTGAGTATACCACTAATTAATTGATCCTCAACTCTAATTAACTGTAATTACAAAATGCTTATGGATATGATTTTATAATCTAGATGGTTAGGAAGAATAGATTATACTCCTCTCAATTGGAGAGTATTTCATTCCTGCCTGATCTTTGCACCCAAAATGGTTAATGAGTTTCCCTTGTAACATCTAAATTTTTTCAATAAGATTGTGCATTTAACTCATTCTAAGTTAATATAAATTCACTAACAAAAACGTGTATACTTAAGTATGATAAATAATTTTCAACTTTTGACGCATATAGAATTGTACTGATGAGAATAATATTTATGTTTCTTACAATTCTGAGCTACATTACCTTCAAATACAACTTATCTTCAATTTTTTTCTTTCTAGAGGTTGACTTTAAACTATATTGCAGATTGATGACTACACCTTTGATTGTGGACCGTACTGGGAATTGCATCAGAAGTCTGAGATGGACAAATTTGATCACAACTTTGATCGACTCAATTTTATTAAGCTTAGAGGTGTTAAGTTTATACAGTCTGAACTTCAACTAGTGAAGATCCTTCTGCAGAAAGCAACCCATTTGGAGGCTCTGGTTCTTATCTCACAAAAGAATTGCCATGTTAACGTATGGACACCAGAAGGACGTAGATATGATAAACTTCTTGACTCATGGAAAGCATCACCAAACACAAAAATAGTTTCATTTGAGCATGTGGCAGCTGACCATAGTCGCGCGAGTACATCTAATTCAAGACAGTGGTTATTTTCATCCAACTAGACTTTTGGTGTAAGAATAAAATATTTTAGTTTAGCAACTAGAATCATAGCATTTTTAATTAGATAGTAGATAGTTTGTTTAATTAGATTTTTAATGTTGTAGGCAAAGGAGTTATATATCATACATAGTATCAGCACAAGAATTCAAGGTAGTTTCGTAATTAAAGAATTAAGGTCTATGGTGTATAGGGTTTCTTCTCTTTTGTGTCTACATGTTGCTAATTTAATTTATACAGGAGTAAAATTTACTTATCCTTGCATCCTTTTCTTGTGGTGTGATAAAACTGTGCAGTGCAATGTAATGCTAGAAGCCCCAAAACAACTTTAAGGGGCTGGTTTAGTAATGAACAAGTTAATTCAAAAGAAGAATACCTATAAAGATATTCTCAAATAAAAAGGTTTCTTCACTCTTGGTCCTACAATCAACAATGCTTGAAACAGTAGTATAAAATCACCCTTTTATACCAGTTATTTTTATAATTGATGTTATATATCTATTTTTTATTAATATAAAATACTTAAAATAATCAATGTAAAAATCCTATTTTCTAATAATGAAAAAGATACAAATTTCAAGTAACTTCATACGAACAATAATCTATCTCTTCAATCATATTCTACCTCATGTTAAACTTTCTTGTGACAAGGGTACATAACTCAGAAGTCTCATTATCTGATTTTCTTTGTTTTATGAAGTAGTAGCGTGATAAAGTTTTACATGCATAACTTTTGTAATGTCGTGACTTGGACTTTATTTATTATTTTCATTCTTATTGACATCGCTTGTGTCTCTTTATTATAATATTAATATTAATTTTTTTTTTAAACTCCCTTTAAAAATCCTCTTCAAAGAAATCATTTTTCCATCTACTTCTTTTTGCCCTTTGTTTCATATGATTACAGCTAAACTAATCATGTAAAGGAAGTTAGGAATATACATTAGCAGTTATATACATATTTATTTATATTTTTTTAATTTTATTTCGTTCATATTACATTTCTTATTAATCTATCGCTTCTTTCTTCTAATTTTTTCTCTCTCTAAAATATTGATGACACATTGGATCTTCAACAATCATTACCCTATGTACTAGCTAGAAAGGTATAAAATTGAATCCATTTAACAAAAAATAAAAACTGATTAATTTTTTTTTAATTATACAAATTATTTATTTTTAAGTCCCGTCCGCATTTAGTTTCGTATTTTCTCGTCTCGACTTATTCTTATTTTATATTATTTTTTAAAAAATAATTATATTTTAATAAATCAATTTAAAATAAATAATTTTAATATCTTTTATATATTTTTATGTATAAATATAACTTATTAATTAAGTATATATTTTAATATATTATATTTATATTAAAATATATGTAAAAAAATATTTAATTATTTTTCTCTGTATACAAATATAAAAGATTTATAATGTAATTATTATTATTATTATTATTATTTATTATATATTATAAGATTATGTTCAAATATTTTATTACGTATAAATTAATTATTTTTTAAGTTATCATTTTAAAATATTTATAAATATGAAATATATAATTTATAAAAAAATATTTAATAAATTAATTTTTATTTATTAATTTAAAGTAATAAAAGTTTAATCATCAATTTAGTTAATTTTTTAAAATATAATTATTTTATTAATATAAAATTTAATATATAACAAAAAGAAATAATAAAATTCAAAAAATATAATATAATAAAATCTAATAAAAATAAATTATAAATAAAATAATATTAGTTAACGTAGAATATTAAAAAAAACTTTTTGTTTATCTGAAGAAATTGAACAAATAAAAAATAAAAATAAAATAACGTAATCAACTTATCTAAAAAATTAAAAAAGAATAGAAAAAAAATTGAAATTTGATAAAAGAAAAGTAAAAAAATAAAATATATAAAAAAACTTATATATAATATAAGAAAAACAAATAAAATATTTTAAAAATATTTAAATTTTATGATTTAAATATAAAATTGGGATAGAGAAAGATATGAGATTTAGTCTGAATTGCATTACTCATCTCTATTTTTTATTTTTTTTAATAGAAAAAACTTAATCAACTTTATTTGTTTCTTATTACGAGTATGAATTTAATTATCATCTGCCTTCAAATGTTTCGTACCATTCAAACATTATGTTTCATTATGTTTTTAATTTTTTTTAATATAGTATTTTTATTTTACTTTATATTACATGTTATTTGAAATATATGTAAATATTTATTACTAAATTATATATTAAATTAAGTGTTGTATGGTAAATTTGATCACAATTGATTTAAAATTTTAACGGTGAAATGATAATTATTATTAAGGTTTATTATCTCATTTTAGATGATTTAGAACTTTATATGTGAATATTTAATATCTCAATAAACATGTATAAATTTCAAGAAAAGAGTAGAATATTAATCTCATAATAAGTATTAATATTTTAAATTTCATAATATCTTAAATATATTAATTAATCTTAATTATATTAAGATAGTGTACATAATATAAATTATTTTTATTTTTAATTGAAATAATATATTTTTTTTTCTTTTTTTTGTTCGAAAGATGTAGAAGGTGCAGAGAGATCAAGTTTTTATGTAACTTCTATCCTTTAATACATTGACAGAGTTCGTTGTGTGAAAAATCATTGTTTTAATATTAAAATCTATCATGATAATCTTTTATGTTTTGGAAATTTATAATCATTAGATCAATACATTTAATTATGTGAAAATAAAAAAAAATAGCAACTATTAATTAAAACTAAAATTATTATATAATAAAAAATGAAATAATTTAAAATTCAATTTAAAATCTCTGATTTCTAAAAATTCATTGTAACCATTATGTTAGCCCCCACATATTTACTTTGAAACGATAATTATGATAGTAATAATTTAGTGATATATTTATAACCACTGGTATAATTGATATGATGAATATTAGATATAGTATCATGGTCATCTTATTTTATCAAGTTAGTGGCATGATTATAGCCACCGTTTATATTAGAGATTGATAATAAGAATAACTCTTATTACATTTACTCACTACAATCTTAACCATTTTAAATAATATTAATTGTTAATTATTTTCATGTTGAGTTCTACTTAGAGATATTCCTCTCTCTATATATATATATAATATTACAAAATTTATAATATGTAGGTTTAATTTATCGATGATTTTTTTTATTATTTAAAAAACTTTAAGAACGGATTTGAGTAAAAAAAAAGGGCTACTAAACTAAAATAACATTTTACAAATTTTATAATCAGGTGTTTGGATTGGTAATGCCCACACTTTTTTTTCAGTGACTACTTTTAATTATCATGTCTAATTAAACAAATTTATTCCAATAGATTGGAATAATTATTATGCCCTCATTTTATATTATAATTTTGAAGTTATTATTTTGAAATATAAAAATATTTTCATATTACTATATCATATTTAATATTTACTTTTATACTTTTAAAATATCTAAAATTAATAATCTTTTTAGAATTCCTTTTATTCTGAGATTTTTCTTCTTCTTCTCAAATCTCACATTTAATATTTTTTAAATAGTCTATTTTAAAATTTTCATTTTTTATATATTATTATTATACCAATAATATTTTTGTTTGTATTTTTAAAAAATTTAACATTGTTAATTGTTTTAATTATTTATGCTGAAATACCTTCTTCTCACAAAATCACGTGTTAATTTTTTAAATATCTTTTAAAAATAAATTTGTCATTTAAAAAGTATATTTACTTTTATTTTTAAAGCTAAAATAATTATATTTAATTTTTTTTAATTATATAAATATATGTTATTAAAATTTTTAAAGTTACATGTCTAAATAATTTATATTTATAAAAGAGATCATAGAGGAAAGATATTCACAGATAAAAGTTAGTTTATCTATCATTTTAGAAGAACTTTTATGTTATTTTTACTATATTTTATTAAAGTTGCAAATCACAATTTTTCTATATTTCAATATAGTTTTTTTACTACACATTTATATATATATATATATATATAGTAAATAATTTAAAATTAATATAATTTTTGTTATGTGATTTGTGTAAAAAAAAACACTAATTAATTTAAAATTATAATATATATATATATATATATATATATATATATATTAAAATTGAAATCCCATAGATAAAGTTTAATATTTTATGAATCTCATTATATATTATGAGTAAAATATATATGATGAGTTAGCAGAATTCAAAATAAATTCAATTAAAAATTAATTGAAAATTATAAATATATCAAAAATTGATTAAAATAAAAAAAATTTTATCTTATTTTTTAAATAAGATTATTTAGTTCATAAATTTAATTAAAATTTAATCAAAATTATATTATTTATTATATTTAAATTTAATTACTAAACAATATATAAGTATTTTATAATTTAATTATATATTTATAATATATTTATATCATCATTTCTAATTATAAGATTGTTACAATTAAAATTATAAATATGACAACAATCATATAAAAAGTTACAACACTAATTTTTTATTAAAAATATTTAATAACATTTAAAAAAAAGTATTTTACAATTTTATTAAAAAATATTTACTAAATTTATAGTAAAAAAATAATTTAAATGACCTCTAACTTTTATGACTAATTAGGAAAACTATTTAATAAAAAATTAATTCAAATCAACATGAACACCTTATTAATATTTGAGTTCATTTTGAGATAGAATGAATAAATTTCCTTTCTTATATACACAAAATCCTTTACACATAAAATTAGGATGAAAAAAATGTACATATATGTGAGAAGAAATCATGATAATAATAAAATAAGAATATTTAATGAGTATTTGTGGGTATATTTAATTTTATAGATTTATGTATTTTAGTATATAGTTTATTTAAATTTTATAAAAAAATATGTTTATTTGTATTTTATATATTTTATATAAACTATATTGTATTTATATAAAATAAGAGTTTTATTAATTTGTTGACATGTGAAAAACCTGGTAAATCATCCTGAAGCCGCCAGCTGCCAATTTAGAATTGTATTCAAATAAACCTTCCAATCAAATGGTCTGCTCTTTTCAGACATTCCTAATTTTTATTTTGAGTTGATTTATTGCTTTCATAGATGTAACTAATGGCTTGGATTATAACACTTGGCTTTAAACTATTGGTTAGAGCGTTTTATCCCCTGCATCACAGTCCACACAAGACAATCTTCTCACATAACTGAACTTGTATGGGAAGGTACCCACATCACCTGCTTTGGCAGATGAAATTACCACATCATCACCAGCCTATCCTACAATGCCATTTGTCCCTCTCCCAACGGTTACTTTTTTTCTTCTCCTTCTCTCTTAACTTTAACCGCCAATAAGATGATTGGAGCTTCTGATCTAATTGCCTTAATTTTCTCCTTTCAATTATTTTTGGGTTTAAATTAAAAATAGTAATTGATAACATTTTCTTCAAATGTTTAAAAAACATTCCTGGGGATTTATATGAAGGTGGTTATTCACTCCTAACCAAGTAATCAACTATGCAGTTATCTCAATTTGTGATTTTCAATTTCAATTGGAAGCACAAATAGAAACCCTAGAAAATCTATTATACTTTCCTCCCCTATAGGTTTGATTTCTCTATCATTCTTTTATTTTTGTTTTCCTTCTTTTTAATACAATTCCCCTGGTACTCTTTAGGGAAAGTATTGATTGTTTCCGCATTGGTATTCACAGTCTCATAATTTCCTTCTTGACTTCGTGTTAATGGTTGATAAATAACGAATTTTGTTGTTGGGTATTGCAGACTGTAGCATAAAAGTTTTTTTTTTTTTTCTACTATAGTTTGTGTTTGGAAAGATGGCAATTGGACTTGCCGATTATAGTAATACTCTGTCATTGGGAAGGAAGAGGGTAGTGGTTTCTAACGATTTGGAACCTTCTCCTCAAGTTACTACTCCATTGAAGAGAATACGCAGTGGTGAAATCTCTCTCAACTCTGAGATGTCTCTCTTTGAAGCCCTTCCTCAGGATCTTCTGGTAATTATAGAGATTTAGAGTATTATTTTTGGGTTTTTTTGAAAAATTGAAGTTTGGATTTTGATTTTTCTGAGTTTTAGTTTCTAACTGCATGAAGGGTATCTCAATTGCAGGTCAAGGTGTTGTGTGGGGTGGATCATGAAGATTTGAAGCAGCTTTTTCATGTGTCCATAACAATTAGGGAAGCAGTAAGTATATTAAGAGGCTATTAGGTGCATTATTGCTCAGGTTTAATTATTGATGGCTGTTATTCTGATTGGTAACGGTTGGGTTGTGGCCATTGCAGACTCTGATAGCAAAGGAGTTACATTTCGAGTTCAGTACACCAAAGAAGAAAACTTTTGCTTTTCTTAATCGATCTGATTTGGAGAATGCAAATGTGTACAAGGAAATTAAAACTCCCAAAGCACCCTTGAGGAAATCAAGGTCAAGATGGAATGCAAGTTTGGCTGACATCGCAACGATCTTGTTTTAGAGAGGGATTTTGAATGGTGGGTCAAGGAAGGGCGAAAGAGATAATGATCAGAAGTAAGGATTGTGAATAGAAAATTTACATTGAATAGATTATACCTTTAGTACATCAGAACTCTTCACACGCCACTTCTTTCAATCTTTCATTGAAGATAGGCGTAATCATCTTTCTGTACATCTATAGACAGACAAATACAGAAACAAAAAAATTCAAATTCTTAGGATTTTGTTTGGAGGCCAATATTTGGCCCTCATGTTCTGACAAATTTGATGACATGCTGTTGGTACTGACTACACTTTGTCCTATCTTGATAGAATGAGGAAAGTTTGTTTCAGTTTTTCCTGATAACCTTTTTCTCTAGATAACTTATGAGGAGATTCATTTTGCTTAAATGGAGTTTCCTGTGAAGATTCACAAAATTTTTATGATTTCAGTGATGTTTTCTCTTAACATAGAGATTGAGAAAGGAGATATTAATTTTTTTTTGTTGAATATTCTTGTTTACTTCCTTTCTCTTTAGATGTTTTTATGTAGATTCCTTTTATTCGTAAGATCCCCGAATTTATGTGATATTTCATGTAGATAAGTTGAGAAGGAGAAAACAATTTTTGTTCTCTATAATTTAGTTGCTAGTACCAACTGGGTAGCAAATTGTCATATGCCATATTATCATGGTGCTTGGCGGAGATTTTTAATTGTGAATACTTTTCAAAATAACAAAGGGACGATTGTTTCACACTATAATTTTCAGTTTTTATATTTTTAAAAATATTATACGTCTATAAATGTTGTTCTCATATACATATTTTATTGGTATTTAGTACGTTTTAAAAAATAAAATTTATTTAATTGGGAAATAAAAGTGGAACAGAAAGGTTGAAGAATGAATTGAGAATAGATAATTATTGGTTGACCTTAACTTCTATTTCATGGGAATACATATTCATCTTTTTTATGAACATATAGAAACTTTTAAATTGTAAGTGTAATAATTTTTTTAAAATAAATATAATCAACACTCTTTTTTATAACATCCTATTATATATTTATTTGCATCCTCATATTTTCAAAAATAAAAGAAGATAGGATGAAGCAAATGTCTCTAGATAATGAATCCATAAGAAAATTTTACATGTTATATTCCTTGAATGAATGTTTAATTATATTCTCATTCTCACTAAGTTTTTCAGATCTATGTTTAAAAGGCAACATAGTTATCAAGAAAAAATGATACATAATTTTTTTTTTGTTACTTCTTTTGATTGAATTTAAGATGTGTCAAATTACAAGTTTTACATTAGAAGAAATTATCACGAATTTTCCTTGCAATTTGTATATTTAGTGAGTTTTTTTATTAGCTACTCCATTTGTATCTTGTGGTAATATAATAAACTTTGTACAATGTAATTTCTTGTGAAGATTTAGGGAAAACCATGCCCATAATCCTTTTTGAAATTATGAGTCCTTTTTTATTTTTTTTTAAACAATAATCCTTTTTAGATTTTTAAGTTAATTTGTTCAACAACACCTCTTTATAATTAGGAATAATTAATGTTGAACCACTTGTATTGAAAACAAGGTACAGAGTAATTAAAAAAATAAGGATATTTTAAAACCTAAAGAATGGAAACACAGAGAAGAACAATTATTTCAACAGGGGAGAAGAGTAATTAATTGAAACAAAACATGTAACATAGGAGAAGAACAATTATTTCAAAAAGAATGTGCAAATACTTCACTAAAGAAAAATGGCAAATTTTAGGAGGAGAAGTTAACGAAGAGAAACATATGGCTGTAAAATTTTGATGAACATATCATGTTGTAAAACATAAAGTAACTTTTGAACATCTAGAAACACTTATATAACTTCAATGCCTCGTTACAACTCCAGAATTTTGTGGAATATTGTATTTTCTTCTTTTTTTCAGGACTTTTTGCTTTCTTTCAGTTTTTTTTTATTAAAAATAACTTTTATTGCTAGTTAAATAAAAAGAATCTGAACAATATTTTAACTTGGTATAAACAGCAAATGAGACAGAAGGAGATTGTAATACGATATGAATTTAATACTTTTTGTGATATATATGAATTTTATATTTTATTTATGTACATCATTTGTACCATTTTTTTTGTTCATAATATTTATTCAGTAATTAAATTTTATATTTATTCTATAGCAATTAGTATTACCGACAACTAGCAAAAATACAGGTACTGTTGTATCTGTGTGACTGCATTTTTGTTAAAGTTTATATTTTTGTTAATTTATTCAGTTTAATTTGATGTTTTGTAATTTTTTCTTTATTATATAATGACATATATGGGTATGAATAAGAGCGAAGAGTGGTAATTTCTGTAATTGGTGGCAAGACACATTGATTATAAAAGAGTGAGTATAAAAGGCGTGTGGCTCTGCTGTTTTGGCGCTTGTCCTGGCAATGGCTTCCACGAAACGGCATTTCGGAGAGGAAGATAATCCCCAATTGTCGTCGAAGAAAGTGAAGGAATCTGCACCTGAATCTGATGTATCTGCTTCTTCGCTGTGTGTCATTCTCAATCCTGCGGACTGTGACTTAGGTATTCACTCTCGTTTCACTGTCAATCTTATTATCTGTTTTTAATTATTTGATCATGAAAATCTGATAAATTTAATGTTAAAGAGATAAAATTGGTAGGATGGTGAAAGAATAGCTAATTATTGGTTTCTTAGGGGAAGTGATTCGAGGTTTTATAAATTTAGCATCAAGTATTTTATTGAATGGTTAGTTAATACTTACTTATTATATGCAAAATTGGATATAATTTCTTGCTTTATTTGTCTATCTCCTTTATCTATTACGTTCTCAGTATCTAGTTTTATTTATTGTTAGATTTCAATATTGATGGACTTGTTGGATATGGACTTCACGAGGAAGGGTTTGCTTATTGTTGGTCCGGTGCCCGGGCTAACGTGGGAATAATCAGAGGTAAATATTGTTTTGGCTGTAAGGTTGTGTCTGAACAGTTGGTTGATGTGAATGACACTGTCCCTGAGCAGCAACATATTTGTCGTCTCGGGATTTCCAGAGGGTATGATTCAGTAGGAAACCTTGGGGAGTCTAGACACAGCTTTGGATATGGTGGTACCGGCAAATTTTCAAATTGTGGTACATTTGTAAATTTTGGAGATAGGTTTGGTGTTGGAGATACAATAGTTTGTTGTGTTGACCTTGAAAGCCAACCGCTGGCTTCTATTGGTTTCTCCAAGAATGGTAAATGGTTGGGTGTTGCAACTCAATTTGATGCGGCTCACCTTGGAGTGGTGGATTCTCCTCCAGGAAATTTGCAGTGGAAATCAGCACTTTTTCCACACGTGTTGTTGAAAAATGTTGTGGTCCAAATGCAGTTCAGTGTTGGAGATGGACTTGTTCCTGAAGAAGGGTTTAAACCTTGGGCCTCGGCTGTGAAGGACCGAAACATAGTTATGGGACCTACTTTTTCGGACCCAAGGGATTGTGAAATGATAATGATGGTGGGATTACCAGCTTCAGGCAAGACTACATGGGCAGAAAAATGGGTGAAAGATCATCCAGAGAAGCGTTATGTGTTGCTTGGCACAAACTTAATTCTTGATCAGATGAAGGTTAGTGCTTTGCTTGGCCCAATTTGTGATTATTGTTTTCTATTTATAGTTTTTTTCTGAATTCAATGTTGTGCAGGTTCCTGGACTATTGCGGAGAAACAACTATGGTGAAAGATTTGATCTTTTGATGGATAGGGCAACTAGAATATTCAATATACTGCTATCCCGGGCAGCTAATATACCTCGCAATTACATAATTGATCAGACAAATGTGTATAAAAGTGCACGTAAGCGTAAGCTTAAACCATTTTCTGATTATCACAAGGTAACTTTTTATCTGGTTGTTGAAGTTTGGAATAAAATATTCTATGAATTTGGTAATATAATATTTTGTCCATTTCAGATTTCTGTTGTTGTATTCCCAAAGCCAGAAGAGCTCAAGATACGGTCTGTTAAAAGATTCACAGAAATGGGGAAAGAAGTGCCAATTGATGCTGTGAATAATATGATAGGTATTGTTACTTTTGTTTTTCTTTTCCTTGTTATCTGCTAGTTTTAAGTTCATAATTTCTTATGGCCTATTTATTCTGTTTATGGTTGTGGCAGCTAATTATGTACTGCCTGAAAGCAAGAATATGCCTCATTCAGATGAAGTTTTTGATCAGGTATTTAGTAACCTCCTAGTCTACAACTTGTTACTGTAATTGTGAATAAGGACTATATTACAAGTCTACTTCTTCTTAAGCCTAAATCTTTAATTGTATTTCAAGGTTATGTTTGTAGAACTGAACCGGAGCGAGTCTCAGAAATATTTGGATAAGATGAAACAGAATCTTGCATATATATCTAATAATAAATCATCAACATTATCCCTTGTTGGTTGTTATGAGTCTTTCGCTGGATCCTCTTCACAAAATAAAAGAAGCTCAACAGGTTTTTATCTACATGCAGTTATTTGTTTACATTGCAGTATGTTGGTGTAATTTAATACTTTCTAATGATCTTAACCATGATCAACTTTTTGGATCAGGGCATGGTCTTCACCAGCCAGGCTCTTACTCTCCTATGACTCCAACCAACGATGGGAAGCCTAGTCAAGTTAGTCAGGTTTGCCAGTCTCTATTTGTATCTAATTTGCAACCTTATGCATCTCATTTATTATGTTTTTGTGGAATAACTGTTCATAGGTAAATGCAAATTGTCATGTTACTGAGCTTCGTAGGAGTATGAATTCATTTTCTGAAGTATATCCAGGAAGTCAAATTCCACGAGTTGCCAGAGCACTCTCTCCTTGTGAACCTTATTCCAATAATGAATCAAGTTGTTTACCTAGAGATATTGCCGGTAACAATGAAACTTACAGTGCCATTTCGACTGGTGATATCTGGAATTACAACAATTCTATTGTAGGTGGTTCATACAGGCCAAATATTGTAGGGAGCAATACAGTTTTTCGCGATGTTTTTCCTGATGCCTACAGGAGTGGCATAAATGAACCATCTCCAACAGCAAGTGCAAGAGCAATGTCTTTTGATGATAGAACTCGTAGTGAACATTATCCTAATGCCTACAGGAGTGGCATTAATGAATCGTCTCCAATACCAAGTGCAAGGGCAATGCCATTCGATTATAGAACTCATGGTGAACCTTATCCTACAGATGTTCACAACCATTCCCTCAGAGGTTTCCGACCTGACCTGCATACTCGGTTCCCAACCACATTCGGTACTTACTCTCTTCTTCCCTTTTCTTCTTGACCTATCTTTTAATTAATACATTCCTTATTTGTTGCTATTACATCTCAGATTCACTTTCCCCATATGGGATACCGACTCCAAGACCTGCAAATGGAAGTTCACCTAGTAACATGCCGTATACACGGATAAATGCCTCTCAGCGTCCAAGATACTTCTAACTGTTGTTCAGATTTATCTTCGCTAGGTAGATATCACTGTTTAGAAGGGGATCATGCAAAATTGTGTGTGTATTCTTATTGGATATTTACTATATATTATTTACATCTGTGCACGGAAAGTAATAAGTGAGGTACTGTATAGGAAACAAATTGAAAAAATGTCATTTATATCATCAGTTTTCTGTTCATTCATACATTACTTACCAAATGAACGACAACCAGGGCAGAGGTTTGATGATTTAGTTTTGTCATATTTTGGACTTTGACTATACTAAAGTAATAAAATGAGTGTAGTGACAGGATAAGAGTATATCCACCGAAGTTACTTAAGTTCATCAAATACTGTCAAATCATGGAAGAATACATTATCGTCTTCTCCCTACCATTATCAGTCCATCAAATTGAGATTTACACCAATAACAGTTGTAAACGAGATTTGTAGTTTTAGCCTTTGACCTCGTTCAAAATTCCATGTGTTATGTGTTGTAAAATAATCTACAACAGTAAGATAGCATTGATGACAATGAATAGCTAAAATAGCTGCAAGACCCCAATCATCCATATGAACTAAGACAAAAGAAGCAGTCGTCTTACGTGAACTCTAAGTAGAGGTAGTTAACCAAATGACTGAAATCACAATCTTTATTTGCAGTCATCTGTACACATGGGAAATAGTTTGAAATATGTTTCAATACATTTCATTGAAAAGTACAGTGATTGCATTCACAGATGCTGAGTTGTAAAAAGAACAATATGTATTTACCTGACGTCCTTAATGACAGAAGGGAGTAAAATCCCTGTCTTCACATGGCAATCCATAAGTGGGCCATTTAAAAGTCCAAAAGGGAAGGCAATGAACCTAAACTTTAAATGTTCATATGACCAACAACTTCAATATTTATTGCATGTATTATTTGTGCTTCGCATTCAGTCGCCAAAAAAGAAGGATGAATAGAACAGTACCGATGCTTAATGATGGAAACTGACAAGTCATGGAAGGAAGGGGGAAACTGCGCAAAGTGAGAAATTGAGGTGTTGGGTTTGGTGGAAATGAATCTGAGCCAAGAGGAAGGAATACTTGAGCGGGTTGTAACTGACCTTGATGCAGGGTATAATAGTGGGGCTTTTAATGCAGGGAATGTTGGGGAGCAAGTAGCTATTGAAGAGACACAAATGTTATGCGTGTGGGGAATAATGGAGCTCTTAACTTGGTAATATTTTTCGCCTCGGCAGTTGTAGTTGGAATTGGGTGTGGTGGCTTTGAGTAACTATTTATGCTATATGATGCACAATAACCAATGTTTTCTTTGTTTGCTCTATCATCTTTGCATGGATGTTTCTGGGTTGTTAATATAACATGCATATATTTGTGATTTGCATTAAATGTGACGTATCAAACATACAGTGAATTTAGTTTTCAGAAATTTTTGGCAAATGGGTCCCTTATTTAATGTCTTGTTGACCTTGTTTACTTAATTCATGAAGTGTTAGCATATCTGATTGCACGAAATATATGCATAAACACAATCATGGCATTGCAAAGGACTGACTGGGTTGGTTGAAGCAGTGAAAGTCAACAGTCATCAATTCATTATTGATGAATGGTTGAATTGAATATATAACCCCATACCATACACAAACACACTGATAGTAGTACATGGATTAAACTTTCTTAGTCATACATTTTCTCCACAAAGATCACTTGTATATGATTTTACTATTCATACTCTAATATGTTGGAACTGCAAACCATAGAGTTTTTATAAGATCTTCCTATGAAAACACAAATAAATTCATAGGTTTCTCAATTATTTAACATTTTTTAGTTAAGTCCTTAAACTATTTAAAAAATAAATAAATACACATTCAGGATATAGTTAAAAAAAAAGTTCAAAAACATAATTAAGAGACTTATGAAATCGTTTATTCTAAAGTAAAGAACTCCACCCAATGCACAATTCACACATAAAAAAGATTGAAGCTGAGGCCAAAATGAATTCACTTTGCGAAAAGTGAATGATGGTAAATCAAGTCATCATTTTTGAAAAGATAACATCCTATGGTAACTTCAAAAGCCGCTATTTGTCTTGAAGAACCTCCTCAACTTCAGTTCTAATGCAGCAACAAATTTTGGTTGCTCTGTCTATGTGAAGAAAGTCTCCAAACAGATTGTTTCAAATAAATCTTCTACCAAGAAAATCACAATGATAGATTTGTTTGTTTTGTATGAGATTCGGTGTAAATAAAGGATAAATAAATAATGTAATAAACAGAAATAAACAGAAAAAGTAATATTCAAAATTGTATGAATTAATACTATAGGAATATTATATCTTATTTGAATGTACTCGTTTAAAAAAAAACATGGGTAAAAAATATGAGTATAATTTTTTTCCATGAACCAAAAAATTATACTCATTTTTTACCTGACATTTGTTTACATGTTTTTTTTTTTATATATTTTTAGTTTTAAAGTTTCTTTAGTGCATGCATATATTCCAACATGGTTGAGCTTTCATTCCGGTAAGGATTTATAACTTGAATGACAGTAGAAATAAAAAACATTAAAATTAAGTTGTGTACAAATTAAAATTTAACTTTCAAATAAACTAATATTTGTATTATAATCATGACAATTAAACTCATACACGTAGGGAACAACCCGTCCCCGTCCCGAGTTTGACGGAGAAAACCCGAGTTGACAGGGGGCGGGGGTGGGTTCGAGTTTTCCCCGCTTTAAAAAGTCGGGGGCGGGGGCGAGCATGGATAATGCAATCCCCATCCCGACCCCGACCCCGACCCGTCCTCGCCTCGACTTTATATTTAAATTTAAATTTTAAAATATTAATATTTTAAAAGTATTTCTTTTTTTTTTACTATTACATATAAGGTCATTTTTTTATATTTCACCAATATTTTTTCTTCTATCCACTTTTTAATTTTTTTGTCTTTTTTAATCTTTTATATCAATTAATTTATTACATTATTCTTTCTCTTACTTCTCAGTTTTTCACATTTCCTTAGTTTCTCCCATCAATTTTTTTTTCAATCTTTTCAACCAATTTGATAAACACAAAGTTAATTTTTTTATTCTTTATCTTTTTCTAAATATTTTACATAAATTTTAGTAGTAACTAATATTATTTTATTTATAATTTATATTTATTAGGTTTTATCATGTCATATTTTTTTATCTTATTATTCTTATTTATCATATATCAAATTTTATCTTAATAAAATAATTGTATTTTAAAGGATTAAAGAAATTGATAATTTAAACTTTTATTACTTCGAACTAATTGAATAAGAATTGACTTATTAAATATTTCCTTATAAACTATATATTTCATATTTTTAAATGACAACTTAAAAATGAATTAACTTATATATATAATCAAATGTTTGAATACAATATTATAATAATAATATTATAAGTATTCAAATATTTGAATACATTGTTATAATAATAATAATATTATAAATAAAAAATTATTAAATATTTCTTTTACATACATATTTTAATATAAATATAATAAATTAAAATGTATATTTATTATAAATGTAATTTTTTTTTTTAATAATATAGATCGAGAGACGGGACGAGGGATCGGAGCAGGGAACCCGAAACCTAGCGGAAAGGGGATGGAGACTTAATTTCTAACTCCGCGAGGATAGGAGGCAGGGACGGAGATAGTTAAAAAGTCGGGAGCGGAGATCGGGCAGGCAAAATCCGCCCCTACCCCGATGCCATGCCTACAATTATGCGCAAGTTAATATTAGTTTACTAATATTCTTTTATCATTTTTATTTTATTCTCCTATAAAAAGAATTATCTAACCATAATCTTAATTATGAAGCACGTGTATACCAGAATTTAGTCCAATTATGTACGCACTAATTTCTTCCAAGTTTATTATTTGGGCTATCTCAACATTCAAAATAACTTACTCACCCTTTGCGTATAATTGTTGAAGTGAGATAATTGCTTTTTTGTTTTTTTACAAAGGAAATAATTGTTTTTTGGGTATAAATAATATTATTTTTTACTTTTGTAAATATTGATGATGTGCAACTTTGACTATGTTTAGCACACACTTTTAATTAATTTTTAGTTACTAAAAAATCATTTAACTTCAACGAATAATGATTAATAAACAGGTTTGTGTGTTACTTCTAGTGTTCGTTCAAAATTTATTTCAAGTAGAGTTTTTCAGTATATTAAATCCTTAAATATATATATATATATATATATATATATATATATATATATATATATATATATATTATTTCTTTCTACCTTAAAATTGTTAAACTTTCCATACTTATTTTATGAGCAATTTACCCTAGAATGAATAATTTATTTATATGGTCTTGAAATTTCTCAAAAAACTTAGTGTGAAATAAGGTATATCACAATTACTTAAAACTTTTTTCTTTCTATGAAGCAGTTTGCCCAAAATGGAGTGTGTAGGTGACATGGCATGTGGTCGTGTGTAGAGTTACACATTTATGTAAAGTAATAACCAAAAACAATGAAATGACCTCAAACCAAGGTCTTGGTTTGGTAATTGAAATAAAAAGGGAAGAGATTCCATGAATAAAAACCTAAACTCAGTACGGAGCTGAATACAGTGATTGATTAAAATGATAATAGTTTGAGAAGTGTAAAAGCATAACAACTTTTTAGGTTGGATTTGTAGATTTTTCGTGTATGCATAAAAGATCGTCTTGGTTTTTGCATAACAAGGACCACACCACACACCTTCTTTCTTTCCATTATTCCATGCCTTCTTCTCACGCAAAAAAGGCCTTATAAACCCCACACTACACCCTGTCCAAGCCCTCCTCTACAGTCTTCCCTTTCACCAATCTGTTTCTCACTTTTTTCTCACTCTCCTCATGGCTTTGCTTTTCTTATCACCACCTATTCTCTTCCAATCATAGTTCGTTAGCTATCCTGTGCTAAGGAAATAGCAATAATAATTGTGGCAATGGAGGACGAGAGTAAATTTCTTCTAGAAATCAAGATCATTGTCAACTTGTTATGCACCCAAACACTTTCTTTTCTCTCTGTTCACTCTGCTCAACCTCTGTTTTCATGCATTCTCACTTTCTGTTTCTTGATTCTACTTTATTTGCCTCATCTGTTTTGGAAGATAGTTTTCTCACCGGTGCTCATTCTCTCTGGGATTCTATTGCTCCTCCTCCTCCGTCTCGGTGCAATTCAGAGGTCTCAAAATGAAGAGAAGAAAATCTGGGTCGAACGTGAACCCATTGCCAACGAAGAAAACAGAGAGGAGAAACAGGGGAGCCCCATTGAACCGGTGGAAGCGGATTCTCTCGACCATGTTTACAAGTGGGTAACGAGCCAATCTCAAATAGAGTTCAAATCAGAAACGGGTTTTCGGTCAAGTTCGCGTTTTGACGAGTCTTTCGTGGAATGGAACGTGAAAGCGCCGTTGGAGGTTATATACGAAGGTGAAGAAACAGAGCAGGATCAGAATGAGAATCGTAACAAGGGAATTCTCAGGTACCCGTCATTATCACGCTACTACCCTGAAACTGACTCCGATAGCTCATCGGAGAGTGGGTTTCCGGCGACAGAGAACACGTGCTTCCGGTGGGACGAGGAAGACAGAGAAGGGCTAATTGAAATAGCTCTGGATGGTTGCAAGAAGAGGGAGGTGGGTTTTCAGTTCGAGGAGGAGAATTTGATCGAGATTGATATTTCTCCGACAAGGCACAGGGAATTCTCCGGCGAGGACGACCCGTTTTCCGGTGAGATTTGTTGCAACTAGTGTGATGATTAATAGTAAGATTAACAGGGTGGATTATTATGTGATTGTTTTGGGATAAGAGAAAGGGAAAATTAGAGATTTGGAATTACTTTGGGTTATTTTATGTTATGGCAGATTAAGCCTGTTTTGGATGTGGTAACCGTTGTACTCTCGTTGGTACCAAAGCTTTAAGCGCAATTAATCACTAATCCCAAATATTCAAATGTAATTAAAGGACTAAGATACCCCTCCCCTTTCCACCCTCTGTCTCCATTAGTCTACTAATTAAAGTAGCGAGTCAAGGTTTTGAATTTGAATAATAAATTTTGAAGGGTTGATAATTGTAAGAAGAGAAGGGTGGTAGAAGCCTGCATATGTACCAAAAAAAAAAAAAAATCTTAGAATTGGTGTATGACATGATAAGGTCATATATTTATGTCTGGTCAAGAATCAGTTGTTACACTTTGCACCCCTAAAATGGACTATAAAAGCACTCCTACCACGTAGCATTGAGAAAGACCATACTCGAAGTGGTTTGCATGTCCCATGTAGAGGTAGATAACCTATATGGATTCAAGGGAGGGAGAGTGACATGACGTACTAAGACTAAAATTATTGTCTCATACAAAAAAGAAAAATGTATATGGACATTATTATTATTATTATTATAATTATTAATATATATGTAAATACAATTTAACAATTGTTTAAAGTGATCCTTTTTATCTTAAATATCTCTTGGTTGTTGCAACAAATGAAAGGGACTTTCACTCTAGATTCCTATTACCTTCATATTCGTAGCCATGTGCTGCGAATTTTATCGGCATTGCACATGGTGGCTATTCAAAGTTGGGAGACGTCGAATTCCAAGGGAATTTACCACCTTCTGTTTGCGACTGTCTATGCATCTACCATTTTTCTTCTCATAAATCATTTTCTATCATTCATCGTCAACTTCTCTATTTATGAAAAATCTGGGGCCGTCAATACGATGCGTCAAGCGTCACCAGATTTTACGTCAAATAAACAAATATAATTTCATTTCATTTATATTTTTAAGCAGGTTATAATTTTTATCTAATTTAATTTTATATTAAATTAATAAAGTAATGAATTAATTTTATTTTGATTAAAATTTTAAACAATTATTAATAAGTTCATATTAAAATAATTAATTTAAAATTTTAAATAATTTTTTTATTTTAAATCATATTAATAAAAATAAATTTTATTTTGAATATAATAATTATATTATTTTAAAATAAAAAATAAAAATATACTTATTATTATCATTTTTTCTTTTTAATTATTTATTAATTTAAAATAAAAATTCTTTACACCATTAAATAATTAGACGTCAAATACTTTTTTAAATAAATCTTTTATCAAATTAATTTATAATATATATATTTAATAAAATCATATTATTTTTATTATTATTTAAAAAATAATTATCTTTTTTTTAATAAATTCACATAAACCAATCTAACCTCAACCCAATAACCTAAACATATCAAACAAACCATACGATTCAATTAAATCACAAAATTTTATTTTTAATCTAACATAGTAATCATTTGCTGCACATCCTCTTTTAAGTCCCATTCATCCCCTGCAACAATGTAAAAAATTATATTGAATCAAATCTATCTATTATAATTCATCCATTACTTTTTAAAATAATCAATAGATTCTCTTATTAATACCAACAATATAAAAATTTATCCAATTTTTTATCCACAATTTTTTTTTAAGTTTTAAAAAATGTATTTATAATTTTTCCAAAATGAAATTCTATTTTTTTAAAATAAACTAGATAAAAATTAGTTATTGAATTTTTAGTGAAGTTTTAAAGGATTAAAATATAATTGTTTTTTTATCTGAACAATTATCTAGTTTGTTTTCCGTAATTTTTTTTATATTTTAAAAGAGAGTCAAAACGAGTTGGTACATAAGTTTTAAAATTTATATATATATATATATATATATATATATATATATATATAAAAACAGACTTAATAATATAATTAATATCATAAATCTTAATTTATTAGTTAATATCTCTAATTAAATAAATTAAAAGTATTATTAAATAAATAAATTTTAATTTATAAGTTTTCATATCTAAATTATAGTTATATAGCAAATGTATATATTACAAAATATATAATAGAAAATTGTATCCTTTAAATTATAGTTTTTTATTTTTTTTAATGAATCAATTTTAATATTTGACATATATAATCTAAAAAAGAAATGTAAATGGGCTAGCAGTTAACACGGCCCACCTTTTCCATGATCCTACGAACCGGCACGGACTGATTATGCTACCAAATATACAACTTTTTATTAAGCACAACTTTAATAAAATAATCGTGACAATTAATATTGATGATTTTACTCTCGTCTTTAAACATATCTTTTATATATTCGAATATATATTGTTAATATATAAACAAGTTTGTTTTGTTTGACAGATGTAACATTCTTTAATAAAAGTGATAATGAAAAATCAACCTTAAACTATGTACAACATTAGTTAGATCCTTTCCGAATTAAGTGGATCAAGAGACTCCAAAACTCTAGAGCTTAAAGAAAGAAAAATGCAAAAACACCACCACATAACATACCACATGTAAACCATGTAATATTTTAGCTGCACATCTTTTCCAATATTCTCTCCTTTTTAATTTAATTTCGGAAACCCATTTTTTACTATCTTTATTTTAAATTGCTTGCATTTCCTCAAATATTTCAATAAATATTATTTACATCATTTTGGCCATTTTTAAATCTCTATAAATATAATAATATAAAAATGTTCACTTTTAATTAGACTAAAACAAGGGTTCACTATTTTGAAGGAAAAAAAAAGGGAGAGAGAATTGTCATCCTGTTAAAAGCCGGTGTACTGAAGGCTTCATTTTTAATTTTGTTTTCTTTATTTATCCTTTTAATTTCTTAACGCAACTTTGTCTCTTTTTTATTTATTTATTTTTTTCAAAATTTCACGTCGTGCTAAAGTTATTACAGTTAAATAAATAACAAAGAATGTATAAAAAAGTTTCGATAACATTCATCAATCCTAACTCAAGATCAGTAATTTTTTTTCATAAATAATGTTATGAATTAATTAAAAAAATAGACAACCTTTTAAAAAAAAAAAAGGACCGTTCAGCCTAGTAATAGTTATGGTCAAGAGCCACTCTCCAATTTTGTTGTTTTTGCCGTCTCCATTTATTAAAGAGCCTTTTGAGTACCAGATATTAGGTCAAACACTTCACTCTTCTCAACCAAGTGATTTAAATGATGGTCAATTTCTCCATGCTCCATTTTCCATTCTCCCTAACCTAACGCTGAGAACCTTCTTTCTTTTTTCTTTATTATTTTTATTTTCATTTATATAAACTAAATTATATTTTAATAATAAATAAGAGTATTTTAAAATAAAATTTATTTCTTTAAAACTTTTTTTATTGATATTTTACTAATTAATTAAAAAAAACATTAAGCATTTAATAAACATGGAATGATCATGACTGTCTCCGGTTTAATAGGCGGATCTGAGGTGCAGCTGTCCCACCAAACCAATTGCCCCACCAGTACGGACGCTTCAATTTTTTATTTTTTTTTACTAAAAAATATAAAAAACATGAAATAAGTATGAAAAGAAAAAGAAAAAGAAAAACACACAGACTCGTGTTTCGCATTCACGCTGTACAAACTTGGCCGCTAAGTCAAAGAAAAGGGCAAATCAGTAAAATCCCGCACAAACAAATGGAACCGTCAAGACACCACACCACACCACACCACCTTATAAAACCCTAAAACACATTCCCATTTTCCTGGCTTGCGTCTTCCACCCACTATCTTCTCGTCCCGCATTTTCGGACACCCATCTTCGTTGCGAGAAAAAAAAAAAATGTCTAGTGTTACTTACTTGCAACGTTTCTCTAGCGCTTTCCGTGAAAACCAGTCGCATCTAAAGCTTGTACTTCTTTGCACCGTCGTAAGGTATACTATGATATTATTTAGCTTCTTTATTCGTCTTATTCTTCGTTATTATTTTTTAGCTTCTTTATTCGTCTTGTTCTTCGTTATTATTTTTTCATTATAGACAGAAAATAGAATCTATTTTCCTCAGTGATCTTGCGAACGTCCTTGTTTCGTACTATTTTTTCTTTACAGCGAATTTCACACGTTCGTGTAGTTTTTAAAACCGAAAAATCTAGATCCGTGAGTAGTAATAATTATGAAATATATTTTTCGAACTCGAGATGCCAGAAACATTCGCTGTTCACGTTTACTACTTGAATCCTCTGTTCATAACATTCTCTGCTATAGTCTATTAATTTTACTCGATTCGTTCGGATTAATTTGTAAGTGGAATTTAAACACATTGCCTGGTGGATATAGATCTATCATTTATGATGAAGGTGTAAATATATGTAATAATATAGATGGTTGATGCAGTGGTGGTGGTCTTTTGGCTTATGGTGAGAATGCTGCACCTGAGGAGGCAGTTACCGAGAAGAAAAAGGTGGTGGTGCTGGGAACTGGTTGGGCTGCCACAAGTTTCTTGAAGAATCTGAACAATCCGAAATATGAGGTTCAAGTAGTTTCGCCACGTAACTACTTTGCTTTCACTCCTTTGTTGCCTAGCGTTACGTGCGGGACCGTCGAAGCACGCAGCATTGTTGAACCAGTTCGCAACATTTTTAAGGTGATGATTTAAAAGGCCATATATGATTTTCGCTTTTTCTTCATATTTTATTATAAATACTGATCTGAAACTATCTATTAATATACCCCACTTCTTTTTTTTAAATACTCATAAAATAATTTTTACATGTGTTTATCGATTTTAAAAAAATTAGAAAGAAAATGTAAATAATGTTGACCGATTTTGTTTTTCATAACTTTTCTCCCTGACGGCATGCTTACTTATGCCACGATTAATAAAAATAGTAAAACTGTGCATTTTTCTTCTAAATTACAAATTTCAACTGTTTTAATTTGTTTTCCGTGATTTCCATCCGTCGTTTTTTTTTCTAAAATTTTCATATATTTAAACATTTTGGTCTCATTTTTTATTTTAATTAATTGAATTATTTGAATCTAAGGGTCTAATAAGGTAAAAAAGAAAATAAAATATTTACAAAATAAAATATTAAATCAATTTTGTTAAGTAAAAAACTACTGAAATACATACTAGAAATTAAGAAAATATAAGCTACAATTTAATCCTAGTGTAATTATTTTTAGCTTTGTACTTAATAGTTTGTTTTAATAGGGCTATATACTATATATATATATATATATATATATTTATTACGTATGTGTTTTTTATGTATTTATATGTATAAGGTTACTACTAATGAAAATATATTAATTAAAAGGTTGCCAATTATACAATTAAATAAAAAGAATGCATTTCATAGATTTTTTTTTCAATTAAATACAATTAGATTGTAAAATTTGTAAACTATTGCTTAATCATAAATGTAAAATTATTAACTTCTATGATAAATATATTTAAAATAAATTTTTAATTGGATGATAGTCCAAAAATCTTCTTATACGAATAATATATGAAAATTATACCCAATTTATAATTAAAATAAAATTCACATGTCAAAAGTATAAATTTTAAAAATAGGAAATTAAATTAAGAAATAAAATAATAATTAAAAGTTATTTAAAGCAACATGTCTCAACATCTTGCAAAATAGAATTGATAATTTCTTCGAGTCATTTTTGTTCATTTTATTTTTACTTTATTTCTAAAGCATTATTCTTAACAATAAAAAAGGGATTTAACAACTAAATATATTGGATAATTTCGTCATTGTTTGGATGTTTTATTAGCTTATCGATACGATTTTATGCATTTGATTGATAAATATCTAGTTAGAAATTGAATTAAAATTGCAAAACAGTGTTTAAATAACATTTTTTAATATTATATTAGTTAGCAGAAGCACATGTCCTGTACATCTATCTTTCCATTTAGTAGGCTATTATTATAATTAAAACCTTAACAAGTGCTATTTACAATGACTAATCATTGCCAACAGTTAATTATAAGCTGTGGCTGGCCAAGTTTTTACGGTTTTCAATTTTTCTTCAATATCTTGTAGCTGTAAAAAAATAACTACACATATGAAAAAGTCGTCATTGTTATACTCATATTGCTAATATAGAGTATTTATCACAATATATTATTTTCTTTTTTGACACAAATACTTTATTTTACTAAATATACTATATTGGTAACTGATGAGAAACATTAGGTGTGGAAATTTTTATTATTATGAGTAAATATTTTAAACTATTAAAAAAATGTTAAGTGAATTTTATACTTCTAATAACATAGCAATGTTCTTTTATTTAAATATTTTTGTCTCTTTAAGCATTTATTTCTTCTCGAAAAAGAACAGAGAATTGTGTCCAAGTGCTTGATTGTATAGTCGAGCTTCACTGTTGTCCGGAGAATACCGTACTTCTGTTGTGTCTGTTGTGTACACTAGCAAGTGTAGCTCATAACGGATTCTGGTGATTTGGTTTCCAGTGAATCAATGTTCATTATGTCATGTTTTCAATAGCGTTATAACTAACTAGGCCTTTCTTGTTTCTTCTTAGCAGAAAAAAGTGGACGTACAATTCAGTGAAGCAGAATGTTTCAAGATTGATGCAGAAAATAGGAAAGTTTACTGTCGATCTAGTTTGAACAATAATTTGAATGGGAAAGAAGAATTTGTCGTGGATTATGACTACTTAATAATCGCGGTGGGCGCTAATGTGAACACATTTAACACTCCAGGAGTGACAGAGAATTGCCATTTTCTCAAAGTATGCCTTCATTATTTTCCTTACTTTCATTATATTTTACTGTGCACAGCATTTAAGAAAAGCTTCATAAGGTAAGAAAAAATAGCCAGGGAAAGAGGGAAGAGGTCAAATCTGTTAACGGGGACTAAGGTGTTTACTGAATTCTATGTTTTTTTACGCGGTTTTGGATTGTAATATCTCATGGATATGAGTGCAGGAAGTTGAAGATGCTCAAAAGATTAGAAGATCAGTTATTGACTGCTTCGAGAGAGCAAATTTGCCCGATATAAGTGAAGATGAGAAGAAAAGAATTCTTCATTTTGCTATTGTTGGAGGTGGACCAACTGGAGTGGAGTTTGCAGCCTCACTTCATGATTTTGTCAATGAGGATTTGGTCCGTTTATATCCTGGGATAAAAGATCTGGTTAAAATTACTCTTCTGGAGGCTGCAGATCATATATTGGGCATGTAAGGATGTGATATTAACCATATTTTTTTGCTTATTATTTGGAACTTCTTCCAATGACACCTTGTCTAGTCTTATGGTTTGCTATTGTTAAGGTTCCAACATAAAACCAATTGGCTTTATGTTGGAAACTTATCATGGTACCTGAGTCAAAGCCTAACATCTTTCCGATTATTGTCATGGGCCAAAAGTTGCCCTTTAGTTGGGTCAAAAGTACCCTTTGCCTGGTCCAGCAGGCTTCGTTGGAGGGGGTGTGTTGAAAGTCCCACATCACCTACCTCATATCATTTGGTATGGTTTAAATACATGTTAGGCTACTCCACATATTGTCAATTGGTTTTATGTTGGAAACTTAACAGCTATCTTTTGAGTAGGCATTCAAAAGCATTTTATTCAGTCATGGGTTTTTTTTAGCCCTGCATGTTGGATGCTTTTGTTTTGTAGAAATCTTTTTGCACAATTTAACTGCTGAAAAACCTCTATTTCATGGTTCAGGAAATGAAGAGGAATAGATTGAAAGTTTTAGTTGTTTGAATTGGACCATACATTGTACGTGTATATCCAAACTAAACAAAATTTCTCTTACTGTCTCACGTGCACATGGTAATATGGTAAATAGCGTAGTAATTTGGAACGTTCAAGACACGTGTACATTAATACAGCATTTAAATACTACTTATACTTATCTGGAATGAGTATTAATGTTTGAATCTTTTGTTATTTAGTTTGTCACACTTGATATGTTCCATTGCTTTTCTCATAGGTTTGACAAGCGAATCACTGTTTTTGCTGAAGACAAGTTTCGGAGAGATGGGATCGATGTGAAAACAGGATCCATGGTTGTTAAGGTATCTGAGAAGGAAATTTCTACTAAAGAACTGAAAAATGGAGAGATTAAGACAATTCCGTATGGAATGGCTGTCTGGTCAACTGGTATTGGCACTCGTCCATTTATTAAAGATTTTATGACTCAAATCGGTCAGGTGTGTTATTGAGAAATTAGACATTGTATCCGTGCTAATTCATAGTTCCGTGTCATGTTTCTCTTGTAGTTTTTATCTATCATTTAGCAAAGAAAATTTATAGTCATGCGTATCTCTTGTGAACAGGCTAGCAGGCGTGCTCTAGCTACTGACGAATGGTTGAGAGTTGAAGGGTGCAACAATGTGTATGCGCTCGGTGATTGTGCTACGATAAACCAACGAAAAGTCATGGTAATCAATACAAATATACGATATTTTTTCCATCGCATATTAAATAAACTTGCTTCCTAGCGTCTACAACACGTATGCACACCACATTCTTATCCATAGACTTTTGTACTATGAAAAAGGCGATTTTTCATCTGGCTTTTATTTTAGCAGTTTCATTGCTCTGTTTTTTGTTGAGAAATGTATGTTCGATGAAATAAAAACAAAGACTATTGTTCATTTCTATTCTAGTGTTACCTTACCTTTCTTTCTGTTAAATATTGTGAATTGATTTTGGCCATTTCAGGAAGATATTGCAGCGATCTTTAAGAAGGCCGACAAAGATAATTCAGGAACACTCACGGTCAAAGAATTTCAAGAGGTCATGAAAGACATCAGTGAAAGATACCCTCAGGTTGAGCTATATCTGAAGAATAAACAGATGGGCAATATTGCTGATTTATTGAAGGAAGCCAAGGGGGGTGATAAAAATAAATCGAGTGAACTGAATATCGAAGAACTTAAAACAGCACTTTCCAAAGTGGATTCTCAAATGAAATTTCTTCCTGCTACAGCCCAGGTTCATGTCTTCTAATTTGCTTGTGTTATTTACAACAGTATTTATAAATTGCATGTTTCTCAGTACACGGCATTGAATTTCTGGAATTTCATGACAGGTTGCATCTCAGCAAGGCACTTACCTGGCCAAGTGTTTTAACCGGATGGAAGAGAGTGAAAAAAATCCAGAGGGTCCACTCAGGTTCAGGGGAGAAGGTCGCCATCGGTTCAAACCCTTTAGGTACAATACATGATCATACAAACTCCAAGCTCCCACCATTTGTGCAATTATGTTTACATTGATTCAGATTTCAAGGTTTTCCATGAATAAATGAATTACTCATTAGCACGTTGTTGATTGCTCCCCAAGGTACAAGCATTTAGGTCAATTCGCTCCTTTGGGAGGAGAGCAGACAGCAGCCCAGCTTCCTGGTGATTGGGTTTCAATTGGTCATAGCAGTCAATGGCTGTGGTATTCTGTATATGCAAGGTACTTCGATCCTTTTAGCATTTTTATATTCACAAAAATTGTCTGAATTTTGGGACATTATTATTGCAAGTTATTTAGACATAATCCATCCTTTGAACAGCAAGCAAGTAAGCTGGCGTACAAGAGCATTGGTGGTTTCAGATTGGACAAGACGTTTTATTTTTGGAAGGGACTCGAGTAGCATCTGAGGGAACTCTTTACATTCAGAGTCTTGCATTGACAATATAGGAGAGCTCGTTGATCATAAATTTCATTTATTGAAATATGTTTTCAACTTCATAGCCGAACTGGAACAGCCAAGACACGCCAGCAATTTTCAACCTCAGGTTGAATACTCCCCTGTTTTGAAGTAGTTGCTTTCCCAGTTTTGCTGATGAAGTTTGTGTCGGAGATTTTCTTTCCATACTCTATCATTCTAGTTTTCATAATTATTTTTTGTTAATTTTCCATTTCTCCAATTTGGTCTGCTAATTGGTGGCAACTAAGTTGAAGTTTTGTTACTGGCCAAATGATCTGTGTAATTTTTTTATAGTAAAAAATTATTATATCTTTGTTATTTATGATTTAAGTATAATATCTCTTAATTATGGACAATTTTTAGGATGAAGTAATTTTTTATCTTTAAAGTTATTGATCTCATTATATCTTTGTTATTTATGATTTAAGTATAATATCTCTTAATTATGGATAATTTTTAGGATGAAGTAATTTTTTATCTTTAAAGTTATTGACATGTGAGATCGGAAATAAAATGAGACTTATTTGGATATTAGATAGTTTCTTATTTTATTTGGATATTAGATAGTTTCTTGGCGCCTCACATTGAAGAAGACTTTGAGGTTCAAGTCATTCATTTTTATATAACTAATTCTTTACTTTGAATATTACATATCCTTCTATATAATCTCTCTTCTTTTAGTTTAATATAATGAGGTTTAAGTAAGTTATTATACATCAATCATGTATTAAATTTTTATGAAATTACTACATATCACAAGGATTAAGTAAGTCATTCTAGTCATTAAAGACACATAAGGTCATTTAAATTGTCAAAGATCATGATAAAGATCACATAAGATCATGTCGGTTAATAAAAAATATGATAAAGTCGTTTAGATTGTCAAAGATCATGATAAAGATTACATAAGATCATGTCGGTTAGTAGAAAATATGATGTGGATTGTATATGGTCATATCAATCATTAAAGATTAGGAAAAGAATCACACAAGATCATGTCAATTATTGTAAACCATGATAAGGATAACACAAGGTGGGTTATTAAAGACCATCACAAGATCAATCATACAAGATTATGTTAGATTACACAATATCGTAACAAATCATGCATAATCATATTAGATCACACAAGATTACAATGGACTATACTAGCGGGATTGTAGTAGATTATATAAGATAGTGTCGATCAAAATCTTAAGACAAAGTTTAAATGTTCAAGCATATCGAGTAAATTCAAAACATAATAATTTTACTATATATAAATATTAAAGTAAAAATCTGATTTATTAATTTTATATTTATTTAATAATAAACAATTATATATAATAAAATAATAATATTATTGTTTTCGAAAATATTTTTTAAGATATTATTAATATATTAATATTTTTATTAAATTAAATAATTAAATTGATAAATAGACATATTATAATAATAATAATAATATGAAATTAATAAATGGACATATTATAATAATATTAATATATTAATAAAAAATTAGTAAATGGATATATAATAATAATAATAATAATAATAAATCAAAAATAAAAATAGACTTCAATCTTTTTTTATTGGATGTTCATGTGTGATGTTTATACACTATTAACGAAAATATGGTAGTCTTAACCCATATAAGTATATAAACTTATAATTTTTTTTAGATCAATTACTTAAGCTATCATCTTAAATTAGAGATTTATCATGATGTTTGATTCCTCCATTTATTATAATATTATTCCTCCATTTAAATATTCTTCTTATTTATTATCGTTTTTTTTTCTAGTAAAAAACACTTTATCATTCTTATATTCAATGCCAAATATTATAATAAAAAGTCTTTGAAACTTTGATTATGTATAATTCCTATATCCTAATTCTAAGGTCCTTTATAATGAATTATTCTATTTCGATTCTAGATTTCCTGAATGAAGATCCCAAAATTATATTTATTAAATAATTTGATTTCTTGCATTATGATCTATTCCTACTCTAGATTCCTTAAATAAATATCCCAAATTATACTTATTAAATAATATGATATTATATTTATTAAATAATATGATTTCTTGCATTATGATTTGTAGTAATAACTTTTAATTATAGATGAGATTTTTGAGATGATTTGTTAAAACTACATGTGAGTATGATCGAACCTAAAATCAAATATAAGACAGCAAGCTGTTTATATAATATATTTTTTATTACATCTTCCTAAAGTTTTGTTTTAGAAAATAATTAAAAAACATTTATTCAAAGACACATTCTCTATTTCCTAAAATTGTCACAGAATATTATGTAAAAAAAAATTCCTTAATAAATTGGTTAAACGAATAGAGAAAAATTGAACGCTGTTTGTTGTTATCTTATAAAAACGTGGACAGTATTTGCGAAGGTTAACGACTGTGAGTGTGAGTGATAAAAATGATAGGTATGCTCATTTTTATGTGATGGATGTTTAAGAATAGAAGAAGCTGACCCATACATGCATTAGAATGTGTAATTTCAGTTCAATTGATGGTTCTGATAGATTGGTTTAGAGCCCAGACAGATGTTGAGGTATGTGATCTATCATTTCACAATTTTAGAGGAGTTTAATCTAATCTAGATAAAATACTTTAGTAGCTGCCATAAACAGGCACGTGTATATGTCACATAAATAGGCACGTATAATCTAAGAAAATAACTGAAGAAAAATTATAGATCAACATCTTGATGATGTACACAAATCACATTTAACGAGCAAAAGACCACAGTAATCTGTTAGAAGAAGAGACAGAAAAAAATGTAAATGTTACTTAAATATATAAAAATAAAAAAAATGTTTAAAAATTAACATTATGTACAATATACCAAACACAGTAGACTCAAAAATCCACAAACCTCTTCAATATTTTAATTTTAAATATTAAATATAATGTTATATAATCTATATTTATTATTTTTAAATGACAGTAAATTTAACTTTAATTAGAAAAACCAGCAGAAATCTTACATTAGTTTGTTGTTCTTCCACATCCAAGCAAGCATGTTAGTTCCGTGTTTAATATTAATGAACATTCTTCCTATCCATCACAAGTTGACCACAAGGATGAATTCGAGTTTTCTTCGTCCAAAAAAAATAAAAATACATGTAAAAATAAGTAATATAGTAATTTTTTATATTTTATTTTTTTTATTCACTTTTCATTCTTTTATTTTTTTTAATTTTTTTAATTAATCAATTTATTATTTTTTTTAGTTTCTTCAAAAAAATTTAATACCTTTAGTTAAATTGGTTATATATTTTATTATTTTATTTTTTCATATATCAATTTTTTTAATACAATAATTATTTATATTTTTAAATATTAAAACATAATTAAAAATTAAAATTTTATCATTTTAAATTAATTAAATAAAATTAATTTATTAAATATTTTTTCATAAATTATATATTTTATATTTTTAAATATTTTTAAATAAGAACATAAAAAATAATTAATTTATATAATTAAATATTTAAATATAATATTATAATATATAATAATAATATAAATATAAATATTTTATATTAAAAAAAATAATTAAACATTTTTTTAATATATATATATATTTAATATAAGTATAATAAATTAAAATATATCCTTAATTAATAATAATAATTATAAATTATAAATATTTATTTTTTATAAAAATATATATTAAAATTTTTAAATTAATTTATTATATAATTATTTTTAAAAATAATATAAAACCAGAATACAAACTTAAATTTTTAATCTTGACAAAAGAAAAAAATAGTTAAAAAAATTGGAAATAAAAACGAAAAAGGAGAAAAAATCCCCTTCACCTTTTGACATGCTCATAAATCAACGAGGATTATATATATATATATATATATATATATATATATATATATATATATATATATATATTATTTATTATTATTATTATTTAAATTACATTAAGTATAAGCTACTAATTCTGTAATGCCAGCCTCAATACTTTCCAAATAGATTTTTTTTCTCTTTAAAGAATGAGAAAAAGAAAGAAAAAAAGCTGAAAATTGTTTAATAAAATACTATTTTGGGATGGAGGAGGAGGATGATGACTTGTCTAAGCCAGGGAAACAAAAAGACAGCACAAACCCTAAAATAAATAAAGAAACTTGATTTGGTCAACCATAAAAGTGAATTTTTTATTGGTCAGCTCAAAAGAAAAATCTGGAACGCATAAGCCTTATTAGGGCTCAGCCCCTGTTGCCAGAATTTGGTTGACTAACTATACATCTCAATCTTTATACCTTTTTACACGAATTTTAATTCACCATTTTCTTTTTTCAATTTGCTATTCGAATATTTTTTATAGTATATTTTTTTAATAAATCTCAGAAGATACTTTGTATTTTTTTTATATATGTTTCTGTTAACTCATCTCTAATTTATTTTTAAATAACAAAAGCATAGAAAGTATTTAGTATATTAAAAATGTAACAAATTTATCACATAAAAATTTGGTAAAAGATTTTTCTGAAACAATAAATACACAAAAAATTCATTGGTTACAATATACTGTACATTATAAAATTATAAAATACATTACATTGCATATAAATAATCTTTTGTTTTGATAGATTTTATATTTAAATATTCTCAACTATGTCCGAGAAGTCTATTTCAGAGTCATGCAATTCACCTTCCTAGAACAAGTGCTTTATTTTATAATAAAATTATAGAAGGAGCTCCTTTCTTAACCTAAGTTGAAATATGAGATAAACATAAGTATATACTTTATTTATTAATGTATAATTTTACTACTAACTGACATATGTATATTAATATTTAAATTATTATAAGAATATAATTGATTTTAGATAACTCCATTATAATATATATATATATATATATATATATATATATATATATTGTATTCAGAATTTAACTTATATATAAAAATGTTATTACTTTTTAATATATTCATGAAACAATTCGTCCCAAAATATCCTAAAAGATTTGTGTTGTTGGGTATGCAAATATGGTATATTCTATAATATATTTTAAATTTTAAAAATACTTAATAATTTAATAAAAATCTAATTTTATCAATTTACCTTATCTAACAAAATCATCTTAACATTTATTTAATATGTTAAGTTTGTTTAATTTATCGCGTTATTTGTATATTATGATGTTTATCACATTCGTTTATTACATGTTTATTTTCGTTGCGTTTTCTGTTTTTATTACGTTCAATATTTTATCTACGTCTCTAACCTTCATTGCGTCTATGTCTTTGTTGTTTCTACTATCTTCACGACTATATTGTATCAAACATATTTACTTATTTGTTTCTTTTGTAATAGGTTACTAAGTCAATCTACGTAACTATTGAGAATTCAGTATGACTTTGAAGTCTTACATTAGGTAAAAATGAGAATATTGAGTAATTTATAAGTGACTAAGACTCGTAACCTAATATCTTAAGGTTTTTTGTTAAATGTGGTGTCATATTCTTCTATATGATTAACTCGTATCACAATTGTAAGAATCTTCCCGTTATTAGCTTCCCTCAAAAAGATCTAATACTAATCCACGATTCGAAGATTAAACAAGATTATAAAATTTTTTATTCATCACAAAATAAATCAAGTTGAATTCACATATTTTCAACTTAACTCGTGGTGAACCAATCTATAAACATATTAACTCACTTTGACCCATAATATCTTTAGGTTTCTAAATTAGATATTAATCCATAATTAAATTAATTTATTCGTAGTAAACTGTATTATAATATTACATAATTTATTCATAAAAAATTAATATAAAATATTAAATTAAGCGAAAAGTATATTTGACATAAAATATCTCATTACCCTTTTATAATAAGATAAAATAATGATGGTAGATAATTAAATAATAGTACTTTTGTATAAACTCTTATTTATTTTAAAATTAAAAAAAATAGAAACAAACACAGACCCACACACAATATTTCAGTAACAAATGTCTTTCAGTAGAAAAGTCTTTCCAAGTTGAGCAGCAGCACATGTCTCTGTGTGCAAACAGTTACCATTTTGAAGTGAGGATTAAATTCAAACATTATGTATACATTGGTCCCCCTGTTCTGTTTTAAGCAACCACTTTCCATACAATGATTGCCTGGATCCGGCACCACATTTATCAGCTCAATTCACTACCTACTTTATAATAATTTCATTAACTTGATGGTGAGGTTTGAACTAAGAATGGTTGTTACCAAAAGCATGCTTAGTATTTGATCATGCAGCAACAATTAATCTATTAGCATGCACCACTCCTCCCTCTAGATATATAACACAATTTAGGTAAATAAAAGTTTTGGCAAACCATCTTATTCAAATTTCTGACTAATAATAACTGTATGATATTTGGATTATGCAGGATCCAAGCACTGCAACTGGTCCATAACCATTAATTATCATATTCATAAGTCAAGCTGGTGAATAGGGATTGGGGGTTTGATGCATGTGGCTACACTACAAGCTGGTAAATAACACAATTAGTGTTCTACTCATTTAGTCAAGATTTCTCAGCTTTTAATGCTTGGACATCACGCGTCACACGTATATGTCAAAAATTTACCTGGCAAGTAGTTAAATGAACAAGGACAATTATAAACAGGAAAAAATATAATACGTTAGTTAGATGTTCAGTACCTATAAATCGGACATAGGAGCGAAGGCAATTTAAATTTGAAAAATTTGTTAGGGTCAGTTTGACAGATGAAACATATAATTTTTCTAATTGAAATATATAACGGTTGATGTGAAAGTGATTAGATTGCAGAAGTAATACACCACTGATGCTTTGAGGAGTCGGTTTCACGTACACTTTTTTGGTTTTTAGGTTTCGTCAATTATATGGGTCCAAAAGAAGCAGGAATTGATTGTGATTTAACTCCTTTTTTACATCACATCGAGGTGATAACGTGCTAATTCTCGGACCTGTGCTCGTGTCTTTTGTTCAAGGTAAATATAAAATATCACACGCAAACATTAGGAAAAACATACTAATCACAGGTTTAAGTACTTTTTAAAACAAGTCAAAATTTCATGTGTCATGTTGAGTGTGTAATAATTAGCAATCTATTCTAATCATGTTCATGTTTGGCGTTTTCTTATTTCAAGTTATTTGATTGCTTGAACCCAAAAATAAATTCATTGCGATAATAATTGACCAATTTCTATATAAACAAATTCTTAAATATTAGTGGAATGATTGCATAAATTTTTTAGGGTATCAACACTATATCCATGTAGCTACATCAAGCAATCTCTAAATAGTAAATGTTATTTCCCAATTTGTTATATATATATATATTTCTCTTCAAAGCTAAGGTATTTTAAAACTTCTTTGCTTTCTTGAATTTCACTTCGTGCCTACTCAAAGGTAGCATTGCAATGCATTGCACCTCGCATGAGCAGAAAAAGAAATAAAATAGCACAGTGCTTCTTGATTAACATTAGAAGGGTTAGATAGTAATTCTCTTTTGTTTTGGTTCAACCGTGAAATTGAAATTCAAAATGATGATCATTGACACAATCCATTGAAAAGTGAAAGAAAACCTTACGAAAATAACATTGATTATAAGGTAGATGCATACAGCATGATATAAAGTAACTTAGGTCAAGTGGAGAACAAATGAATGTGAAATTAGAGCAAAGGGTCCCACTTTGCTTCCAAGATATATTGACATATGTGCAAGAAATGGGCCGAATTCAGTCATGTGCAGAACTGAAATTGCAATTATGTTGCATGGGTAGCAACAAGAAGTATTTTCCAATGAGTTGTTTTCCCCCCACTCAACCAGCAGGACCCTACGGCCACAATGGCTTCGTATAATACCAAACTGAATAGCTTTATTAGACCTGCTAATCTGAAGTTCTGTATAAAGAATACTATATGTAGTAGTGTAGTTGCATTACATCATATAACAAATTTGTCCTTTAACGGTGTTGAAACTATGCACCAAATCACATCGTGAGTAGTTCAATTTTTATTTTTACCTAGTATTAGTATCCCATTTGTCACGTACCAATGTTTCTTTACCTCTTCATTTTTCTGTAGTAAACTGGCATATATTTTGCAAGAGAAGATCTTATTAGTGGGGGATGGTGTTGGTCAATATCTTGATGCTTTTTCGGGATTGTCACGACATGGGCAGCTTTTGATTTACCCTTTTGCGTTGTTTGAGCCTGTGCCTCTGGCTAGTACCATTTGGACCTTCTTCTCATGCTCTCTCGTGAACCAACCCCCCTTTGTCTCTTGAAAACAAGCACACTTTTTGAGGTGTAATGTAATGTAAGCTAAATGTTCTTTAGGGGGGGTTGCTTGTATGGTAGTGTGATTTTTCAGCTATTCCCCTTTGGCTTTCATTGGACACTCGGTTCTTTGGCATCCGTTTGCAAGCAACAAAAAGGTTAAGAAAAGAGAGTTACTTCTGTTAATTAGTTATGAGGGTCACTTCCACTTTCAATGTGAAAGGTCAGTGGTGGCTAAAGGCAAATGCAAAGGCCAAAGGGGATTGATTCACATGGTGGGGTGTGTGCAGTGTGGTCGTGTCATTCCCATTCCTAGGCCATCGAAAGCTGCCCCTTCCCTTTGCCTTTTGCTTTCCCAATCAAAGCTCTGTCCTTATTACAGTGTGGTCCATCTTCATTTCCATCTATTATGTCAATTTTATTAATGCACACTTTCTGCTCTTACATTGCTCTCTCTCAACTATAATTCAAACGCTGTTCTAATGCTAATCTCGTCTCATCCTTCATTGCAGTTGGTCTGTTTTGTCCACAAATTTATGGAGACAATGCAGTACAAACAATATTTAAGATGCTGATGATTTATGTCATGCTATTGCAGAAATAATGCACTATAGTTGGACCATTTCATTTTGTTAAGTATACCAATTTAGTTATCAATGTTTTAAATTGAATTAATACGACACTTGTTCTAAATAGTAAATGTTGGAGTCTGACTTCAATCATAATGTACGACATATAAGTAAACGCTGTAGTTGATAGAAAGATAGTAAATCCTTTCCTTAGTAACTTCCTCGCAGCTAAAGGAAGATATAAAACCTTTTATTTGATTTCAAAGATATTATACAACTCACGCTGCCGTTGTCTTGGACAAACGAACAAAATCATAAATTCAAGACAAGTCAGTTGAATAACAATTACATCCAAGTTTGGAAACATGCTCAACTGTCAACAAATCATGTTCTTGATGTGAAAAAGGTAAGAGAATAGAACCTGTAGTTTTCATTTTGATGCGAAAAACATGTCCTTGATCCATCTCCAAACACGCATTAATTTTGACTGTGAATTCCTAGATAGAACTGAAAAGGTTTATGTTCCAGAAAATACCACATAAGTTTTCTTGCTCTAATAGTATACACGAGTAAAAGCTTCAAAATACAACTTTTGGATTCAATTCTGTAACCTCTTTCATCTTGAGATCTTCTTGTAGGATTACTATTACTCTCCCTAACCGGAGATCCCAGTTTCCTAAATGATCATGAAAAGTAATAAAAATAAAATGGCTAATTTCGGTACTGTATGGTCCTGCAAAGTATGAATGACTCCTGCCGTGGTATTTACTGAAAAGTAGCAGCAAACTGATAACTTCTGCTCCTACTTTAATAACCGTTAACTAATAACTTCCTCAAGCGTCCAAAAAATAATACTATTAGGTTTTATGAAGACTATTTTATCATTAGGTTATAATATTAAAGATTATTTTTTGAATTTTTTACATGTAATTGTCTTTTTGTTGATACATAATTTACATACCTCTTCTGTTCATATCTTAATTTTAATTTCAAATTTCCTTTAACCAGATGCAGTAAGACAAAGTAACCTTTGCCGAAGAAGCAACACAAATTCTCTCACTCACGAACCTCCCTTTCCCTCTGGGACCTGCTCTGTTCCCTTTCTTTCCAAACAAAAACAGCCAACAGATTGAGTTGGCCTATTCCCCCCACAATGACAAAAGTGCCCATGTTCCTTAATCCTTCCAAATTCTTTATGTGGACATTTTCAAGCACAAAACAGAAATTAATCTTTAAGATATTAGGTTATTCTCTTTTAACAAATGGTATTTCTTATGCACATGTCTAAAATCAATTAGCTAAAATCAAATAGCTAAGAGTCAGTGAATTTTGAAAGTAGTTGATAATAAAAAAATCACACTTAAAATGTTAAAAGTTATAAATATTAGTTTCAGAAAATCAAATTAACACATTAGATACAGAGAGGAAAAAGAAAAAAAAAGATCAAATTAAACTCTTTCAAGAAAAATGAAGAAAAGAGAGTTTACAGTTACAGAAACCCAAAAGGGTATTCCAGTAAATAAATACAGAAGAGTCCAACTTTCTGTGAACTGCAATCTAAGGATAAGTATAGATCTGAAGTCAGAGCCACATTACATTCTTTCTCTCTCCATCGTTACTCAGATACCAACCTCCGAAACCAAATGGGTTTGCTCTGAGAACCAAAATGGGTGACCAACAACAGTCCACCACCGCCGGCTCCGTTCTCCGGCGAGTCGTGGCGCTCATTTCTTCCCTGATCACCCTCTCCCTCTCCATCAGGGTCTTTGCTGGAAAGTGGCAACTCATTCGGATCAGGCTGGAGGAGCTCAACTCGGCACTCGTCGCCGGCGACGCCACTTCACTTTCCGGCGAGCTACCGGCGATAACGGCTACGGTGGAGGAGTGCCACGAGCTGGCACGGCGGTGTGTGGATCTGTCTTACAGCGGGAAGCTCTTGATGCAGAGCGACTTGGACGTGACGTTGGGGAAGTTGGAAGCGCACGTGAAGAAGCTGTCTGAGATATTCAAGAAGCGAGTATCGATGCATGGCTACGCTGTTGTGGTTTCAAGGCCTGGTTTTGGAGCTTGCAAAGATGACATGAGATTCTACTTAAGGGACTTAATGACTCGAATGAAGGTTGGTGATCTGGGTATGCGGAAGCAAGCATTGATGAACCTGCATGATGTTGTTGTGGAGGATGATAAGTATGTGAAATTGGTTGTTGAAGTTTCTGAGTTTGTTCACGTGTTGGTGGATTTTCTGGGTTGTAACGAGGTTGAGGTTGTTGAAGAGGCTGCCAAGGTTGTTTCTGTGGTTGCGGGGTTTGATTCTTATAAAGGGGTTTTGGTTGGTGCTGGGGTTATTGCGCCATTGATTCGGATTTTGGAATGTGGGAGTGAAGTGGGAAAGGTTGGTGCTGCAAGGTGTTTGCATAGGTTGACTGAGAATTCGGATAATGCGTGGTGTGTTTCGGCTCATGGGGGTGTCACTGTCTTGTTGAGGATTTGTGAGAGTGTAGAGTGTAAAGGGGAATTGGTTAGTCCTGCTTGTGGGGTGTTGGGGAATCTTTGTGGGGTTGAGGAAATCAAGAGGTTTATGGTTGAGGAGGGCGTTGTTTCCACGTTTGTGAAGCTTGTGAGGTCTAAGAATGAAGCAATTCAGGTTAGTTCTGTTGAGTTGATTCAAAACATCGCCTCTGGTGATGAGTTGGTTAGGCAGATGGTGGTTAGGGAGGGAGGGGTTCGTGTTCTTTTGCGTGTTTTGGATCCAAAGTGGACGTGCTCATCTAAAACAAGAGAGGTTGTGATGAGGGCTATTCAGAATTTGTGTTTTTCTTCGTCTAGTTGTGTTACTCTTTTGCTGAGTCATGGCTTTGTGGATCAGTTGATGTATTATATTCGAAGTGGGGAGGTATCGATTCAGGAGTTGGGGCTGAAGGTAGCGTTTAGATTGTGTGAAGCATCGGATGAGGCCAAGAAGGCATTAGGTGATGCCGGCTTCATGGCTGAGCTGGTGAAGTTTCTAAATGCGAAATCGTTCGAAGTTCGTGAAATGGCAGCAGAGGCACTCTCTGGCATGGTGATGGTGGCTAAAAATAGGAAGAGGTTTGTGCAGGATGACCAAAACATTGCCCTTCTTCTGCAATTGCTGGATCCAGGGGAGGGAAATTCTGGTAATAAAACGTTGTTGATCTCTATCTTGATGTCACTAACAAGTTGCAACAGTGGGAGGAAAAAAATCGTGAGTTCCGGGTATGCCAAAAACATAGAGAGGCTTGCAGAAGCTGAGGTTTCTTCTGATGCCAAGAGGCTCGTCAGGAAGCTATCCACAAACCGGTTCCGCAGTATGTTGAGTGGAATCTGGCACTCTTGATTGTATTTTGTTTTCACCTTTTAACTGTATATTTTCACCATAATTGTTTTCCAAGTTTTGCTAATTTGGTTTCCTCGTCTCATTTTGTTCAGTTTTATTTCATTTGCCTTGCCCATGACAAGAATAGCTCAGCATTTTTATTAAGATTGTAACAAGAAATAGTGATAACATGATATACTTGTTGTAGAATTTCTTGGAGATACTGCGGCATTGTTTTAAGATTTTTTTAGCTTTGGCTGTTCGTGAAGAACAAAAAGGATGACACTATTATACAGTGATAGTTATTTCACTAGTCTGTGTTCTAAAAATATTATACAGTGTATAAATACGTGAACGGTGTGTGATCACGTGGGGAAGACATCAATCCTTCAGGGGCATGTGAGTAGTGCCTATAGTGCTTTTCTGGATCTAGCATTATCTGCGAGGAGATAGTGACAGATGAAGTTTTTCCCATCTGTATTGCCTTGTCTCTTAGCTAGTTTGTCTTTAATACTGTAGCAGTTTCGTTGTTATTATTGAGAAAGCACAACATGCCAATTCTTTGCATGCTTGTTGCCTGGGATCTTTCAGATAAGACAACAAAGTGAACCTACGCCCTTCTCTTTCTGTTTGTGCTTCTTTGAATTAACCCCTATTAGCTTCTAGAGTTACAAAAAATACTAACAATGTGAGTGCAAATTTCTAAATCTGGGTGAAGATTGAGGCACTTGGATTCTGTGAAGGAGGAAACAGCAAGCTTCTGGCCTGTGCGTTGATTGGTAAAGTGAAGGGTGTTGGGAGGCATTTATTAATGCAACCAACGCAAGATGACTAATTAATGGGGAACATGTGAAAATGTGTATCAAGAAAGGCACCGGAAACCTATGTTTCTTCCAATTTCCAACATCTCATCCCAAATGAATGATTTCATTGATTGTGTTTATTGAATGTCTGAAACTTTCTTTTCAACAAAGAGTTGTGCTGTAATACATCTAAAAGAATTTGAATGTAAACACAGTACTTATGGTTGAAAAACTGTGCATTGTGGTAGGTCTGACCCACTTAATAACAAAAAAAAAATTGCCATATTATAAAGTTAAATTATATGTGTTTTCTAGTCTTGGCCCGTTCCAAACGCCACTGCGAAAATAAGAACAATCAACGGGTAAAGTCATTTTCCATGAAAAAAAACATTTGAATTATGATCGCAAACAGTTGCCTTTGCATTCACTTTGGGGCTCTATTCAATTGATTCAACACCTTTCACTCGTCAAAGTCGTAACCTTCTTGCATGTTCTTTTTCACTCTAAGCTTCGTTTAATGGAGAATAAAAAAAAGAGAAAAAATATATATAAAGTAGAAATGATATTTAGTTGAAGATAAATTAAATTTTGTTATTATAATATTATTTTATTTCATTTATTACTATTATTTTGTTTATTTATTATAAAAAATCTCATAATTGACTTTTGTAATTATTTATGGGATTGTTTTAGATTATACAAAAATGTGGCGCAAAAGTAATTGATTATGTATGAAATATAATCTATAGTATATGAAACACAATTAATTATGTTATTGCTGTAGTACTTTTTTCTCTTTTTGCATTTCTTTTTCTTGATTTGACACTACACTTTTTTCTCTTTTTCCTTTTTTTTTTTCATTCCTCTGCCCTCTTTCGTCTCTAATATAGTATGCTCTCCAGAAGACATCCTCCCAGAACTTTTTATAAGTCCTCAAAACATGTATTCATTTCATTGAAATTATGTAATTTGGTATGTTTTTTCCAATATATATGAAAAAAAAAGTAAATTTGAAAGTGATGTTATTTAAAGAATGGATATAACTGACATGCTGAGAATCTGAAAAAAAAAAAAAAAAAAACACATACACACATAATAAAGAGAGAAAACATTTGTTTTAGCATTTGATGGGCTTCGAATTCAATAGTTTAAATCCATCTGGTATTAGGTGAAAGCCATCATATTGTTGTTTGGTCTTAATGGCCTAAAATCAATTTTTGGTTTGGAATGTCCTTTTCTGTCTCGTTTACATTTGGCCCATGACAACCCCTGTTACATTTTCACAACCTTAGGCCTTGTTAAATTTCTATTTGAAAAAACTATGATTGACTAAAAGTAGTTTTTATTGTTTTTCAAGTTTTTGTTGTGTACTTAATTCAAAACACACAATAAAATACCACACATAATGTGAAGTTGTTCCAATTTAGGTAATAATCTTGGATTCTGAGTGTTGATTATGCTTATGTACAAAATACTCAATCCTTTCTACCAAGATTATCTCCAGTAGAAGATACATGTGATCTATTCAACAAAATACACAATAAAATTAGTCTCCATCATATTGTAATCAATTCATTTGATTACTATTAAAAGGAGTAATTTATATCTTACTTAATTCAATAAATATTCAAATTAAAAAATTTAGTTACAGTAAAAAAGATTTTTTTATCATGATTAATTTGAGTACTGTTAAAAATAATTTCAATCATAACTAATGAATTGAGTTACTATGAAAAATTGGTCACTTCTACCACTTTTAATTGATTACTATAATAAATAATTGATATAACAATTAATTTAAATTATTTTTAAAAGGTCGCTTGATTCATAATAAATTCAATTATTATTAAAAAATATAATTTGTATCATAATTTGTTTACGACTAAAAAGAAGAAACCTGCATTTATATTTAATTCGCTTGCTATTAAAAAGAAAAATCTTAAATAGAATTTTAATTATGAGCTTACATAATGTGAAATGCTATCTATGTTAAAAATATTTTACCAATATACTTTAATAAATTCTAATGTAATTTCCGATTTAATGTTTTTATTATTAAGGACCCAATAGATTAAAAAAATCCTTTTAAGTACTTTACAGGAAATAAAAATTTAGGTAATAGTGTTAAATTTTCAATAATCCATAGAGTATGCAATTTTCAGTATTATCCTTAAAAATTTTGAAATTTTATTCCGTTAATACCTTTCCATCAAGTCCTATAATCCAGCTATACTTATTTTTGTAGGAAAAAAAATAACAATTAATATAATACATAATTTGGATGGAGTTCTATAAAAACATTAAGATAGACATTCTAAAAAGTTCCTAGGATGAGAGGTAATCTTTAATTTTTATACTTACATTCATATTTCAGTTTCACACCTTTTAACAAGAAAACTCGTCATGACAGCAAAACATCCATCTCACAGAAATTGCCATTATACATCAATTCGTCAAAATATCGTTCCGGATAACCCAATGACACTCACACTTGTGTTGTGTACACACAGAGGATGTCCTCATCCAATCATAGGTTTCTCAAAAAGGACATTTCATTCACACTAGCCATTCACCACCTGAATTTTCTGAGTCAAACGTTTGTGATTACATATAATTGTTTCCCTATAAAGTCATCTTCTCCACAGTAACGCAAATTCCAACTCAAACTTATCTATATGGAGTCCATTACCATTTCACTCTGTTGCTTTGCCAGGTATCTTTCCCTCCTCTCTTTCTGGAAACAAAATCAGAGATATAGATATATGAAGCATTTTTCATAAGGAGACATATTGCATATGGAAACTTTTCCAATAAACTGATTATGTAAACATACACACCCATTCATCTATGACAAGCCCTTCCCCGAGAATCTTAGGGCCTGCATCTTCTGGGGCTCTCTTACGTGTCGCAACTGCAGCATTAGCCTCGGCTAGCTGGAGCCTCATTTTTTCCAAAGCCTTAGTAAGACATTAACACGTAGGCAACTAGTTAATATATATGTTATACATAGCAAGCTTATAAGCATTACATAAAAATAAGAAAATAAATTTTACTAAAGGGAAGTACTTCATGTCACAAAAATAGTATGTTTTGGTGAGATAGAAATAAAAAGGAGAGGAAGAAAGGGAGAACACAGAATTTTGAGTACAAGTTTTTATTATAACATGTATATTGCACATATCATATCCTATCGTTTTTAAAATAATCCTACCGCCGGCTGTATCTGATACACGTATCCTGTATCATGGGTCAAAGTCCATCTCCTCTTAGTTTTTTTCCTCCCCTTTAATAAGAGGATTTGGAAGGGAAAGAAAATGCTCAGAGTTTGAGGATTGGACTGGCCAAATTCTCCTTTAAGACTAATAATGGTTTTACTTGTCTACTTTATGGTTATCCTAGTAAATTTATCATTTTCCCCTATCCTTTCCTCCCCTCATATAAAACAGACTAATACAACCGATATTTTAGTAAATGCGTTGGAGTAGTTTAGTAAGAGTTAATTGTACTTTTAAGTACTAATGTAGTAAAGAATATTGCCACAGGTACAAATGAAAAAACTCAAATTTCAGCACTTACAGGACTACTACGCTCTGGATCCAGGAAAACAACCTGCAAAATCTGCTTCACTGTTACTTGATCCTTCAGCTCATCAAACTGTTTAGAGGATGAACAAGCACCCATGAGTCAAAACAATGTTAAATAAGAATATTTTAAAAACAAGCAACACCATCAATGCTTCACAGAAAAGCATAAAATTGAGGACACTATAGTGGCTGATATATAATGAGAAAAAACAAACATATACGACAACTTATTTGGAATGTGTCCAGATTCCATAACGTGTGTACGAAAGACAGGGGAGAGGGACTACGGAGAGAGAAACAATCCAACCAATGGAAATTGAGGAAGTGTAAGCTTGTAGTAATGATAAAAAACTAACCATTTCAGGGACATAATCAATTGATCCTTTGACCTTCAAGCTCATGATTCTAAATTTGAAGCCAGTTTTTTCTGGCTTCTCATTATTCTGCGGATGCTCGACAAACTTGAACACTAGCAAATCAAATACAGATTAGTGAGGTAACTTATCATTATTCTGTGGATGCTCCACACAAAGGAAGGAACATGAAGAAATGAAAGATTAATTATTACCAGTCGCAATTATACTCTCGCCAGGTGTAAGGACGCCCCGTGGAGGACGCATGAAACAGCTCTTGGGTGCATTTGTTTGAAACTATGTATACACAATAAGTTGAAGAAGAACAAAATAGTATTATAAGAATAGGATTGTTAAATTCATAACTCATTCAAATCAGAGATAAAAAATGAAAATTCGTTCGTTTTTTCAGAATTACAGATGAACTACACTTGCAAAAGCTGTAACAAAGTAATGTTCAACACAATAGACGGTTCAGAGTTGATTGGAAGACACAGTGAAATTGCCTAGGTAATATCAATATGCAAAACAAAGGTATAGAAAAAGAGGTGTATATGTTTGTTTGAGAACACATTACTTTGAAAGCTACATTGGATTTGCTGGTGTTCTTTATCCTGATGGCACTCTTAGCCTGCTTGCCCGGTTCATCTACACATGACAAGAAACAATTGAAGGAACAAATGACATAACACAAAGAATGACTCTGTCAAGCAATCATATGGATTTATGCAAGGACAAAACTTCAGACAATACTTTAGATGGTATACGTGATGTTTTTCTATCCAAATTAGAATTGTATCTCGGTAAACTATAAAAAAGATCTGTATTAAAAGATCATGCAGATTATTGATATAACTATTATCAGTAATTAAGGTAAGGATACATTAAGGTTACTAAAAAAGTGATTATCATTATCCAAAAACAGGTTATTATCATTTTTTAGAAACAGGTTAAAAAAAAGTGATCACAACCAACGCAATTAATGATTCCAGCATATGAAAACAAGCACAGAAAAAGGTAGGACATTGGAAGAAGATGCATACAAGGGAAGTAGAGCTTCTTGGAAGGATCGAGCTTGAGACGACGTCGTGTGGGGAGGAGCGATCTAGCAAGGGACGAAACGGAATTGGAGGTTGAAGCAGTTGAGTGAAGAAAGGGAAGCTTCAACAAATTCCACACTTTCCCTTCCGATTGTGATTTTGATTGTGGCCTTTCTTCACCTATCGCCATGACTTCCAACTCAACTCCCAAACCAAAACCATTCACTCTATAATCACCACCATGGTCTCCACCAATACATAGTAAACGTCCTCGTTGACCCTCTCTTTAAATCCGTAGACCAAAACGCAAAGATTTTGCTTTATCATTTAAAATTTGCATTATTTTAAATACCTGTTTTCTTTTAATACCAGAATACAAAATGTATAAATTAAGAATTTTTTTTATCAGAGAGGAAGTTTCCAATTTGAACAAGACTGTCATCCTAAGTGAGAACAGACTATGTAAACTGGAGATTTTTATTTATTTATTTATTAAGTTTGTTCAAAACATTTAGAAGAATTTCGTAAGTTTATCTAGAAAAACTTATAATATGATTTAAAAAAAAATATCATTGAGATTCTCATGGACATAGACAAGAAAAAAAACACTTATTTAAAAATATTTTTTTAAAATTATTTCTATATATGGTATTGTTTAGTTATCGTGTATATTTGATAGAGGATAATGTAGACAAACGAGAGGTTTGTTTGTTTATTTTTCAAGATCCAGGTCAAAGGTTTTGTTCCATGAAAGGTTAGATTATAGATACAGTTAGAGAATCTCTAAAGTAATTGTTACTCCGAATTATTCAAAAAAATTTTAAAATATTTTATTACAGATTTTAAATATAAATAATTTAAAATTAAAAAAAATTATTTTATATAAAAAAATTTGATTAATTTTTAAATTTATATATAAAGTATATAATAAATATTTATTTTTATTTTTAGATATTCTTATTAAGATGAGGTTCCAATTAATGGAAAAAAATAATAATTCTACCGACACAACACAATCTTTTTTCTAACTTTTCATTCTATGTTTATCCCATTCTAACTCCAATTTAATTTACTTACAAAAATATATCAAATATATTTCTAATTTGATTAAGTCTACATCATAATATATAAGAAATTTATCAATAAAACAAAAATCAACGTATAAAAAAAATATTTAACGTGGAACTTAAGAAAAATAAAATTGATATACATGGATGGTATAGTGATGTGAGAAATCATTTATATATTTTTCTTTTGTCCCTGCGGGTACGTCCAACATGGTAAGTAATTGCCATTTCCAAGTTGACTTTCACCATTTGATGGTGGAAAATGAGACAAGTGTACTAGACTTGGCTATTTGTAAAACTTTAATAAAATTAATAAATTATTTATTTGGTTTCTCTAATGTTCTTGAGTACCATGATTTGGTCGCATCGATTCGAAAATATTCGATCCTAGATATAATTAAATATTAATTTAAAAATATTTAGTATGAACGTGTCTCGATAAACTTGGTTCTCACAAAGAGAAAAATAAAATAAAAATTTAAATAATTTATCCATAAATTTATATATAACTTATATTTTATAAAATAAAATGAATTTGAATTTTTTTAATTTACATAGACTTTAATTTTAATTTGTAAATAACTTTATTTTATTCTTTTAAAAATACTTATAAAAATAGTCGTAGACTGATTGATTAAGTAAAATCTTTATTTGAATCAAATAATGATTTTTCAATAATTTATTTTCAAGTCAAATCTAAATAAAGTCAGTCCAATAAAAAATTTAATTATTATGGGTTGAGGTTAACTATTCTAAATATCAAAAAATTGTTTCAATTTTTGAAATTTTCTATTCCGAGATTCCGACCATTTATATATTCAAATAACTCTAAAAGTTCAAGGATGCAACAAGCAAACAATATTGCCTTCATTTTGAAACTAATGAACCTGAAACTTAAACCAATCAAGATCAGGTAAGACTTTTGTTGGATTGGAATAATAAATAAATAAATAAATAATTTGCATGAATTTTGGTTGCAAAAGAAAAATTATTTAGTCAATCCGAATCTATCCACACATATACGTAATATTCTAAAATTTTAACCCAATGATTAAAAACATATATGTAATAATTATTTCAATAAGTGTATTTACTGTACAAAATTTAACCGATGGAAAGTAAATTAATTTATCAAATTATTTGATAATTAATTAATTTACTTATCCTAATTTTTTAAAGTCATTTAATATTTAATTGATTAGTATAAGATATTAATTGAATAAATTATAATTTAATCGATAAAAGTACAATTAATCAATTAAATGAATTAATATAAGTTCCATGTGGTCCTAATGTAAGGTTAGCTAAATAAATTAATTAGGATTGCCTTGTGAAACTTGATAGAAAATATTACTATTATAATAAATAAGATGATGTGTAATTATACTATTTTTGAATGGTTTGATTAAGATCAAGACTGATTTATTACATCTATATTTTGTGAGAGGAAAACGGATAAAAGATTATAGACAATAATGAAAATGATTTGAAACTACTCATAGATGTAAATCACCACATAATGATTTGATAAAAAAGACCCTTCAACGAATCCATTTATGTTTGAATGGAATAGGATACAGGTAAATATGGACTGTTTGGAGTTATGTTTAAGTTTTTGATATTGAAATAAGTAGTTTAAGCTTATTCTATGCACATAACTTTTTATTTATCGCTTTTGAAAACATTTATTTTTTTCCTAAGATGTATATTCAACTCAATGTGCTCCTTTTTATATTCATATTAATTGTTATTTAATATTTGTTATAATATATATGGTGTAAATGTAATTACATGATAAATTTAATTTCAATTATTTTATTATGATGCGCGAGATATGTTATTATAATTGGGTTAAAAAAATCGTATGTAAAAATAAGAAAAAAAATCTTAAAAAGTAATTGCATATTATTCTTATTAAATAAATACTAAATATTTTTCTTTCTACCATACCGGCTCAGTATTTATATTTAGTATAAAGAATAATGCTTATATCCTATGTTTAATTAAAGACTATATAACCTCTGCTCAATGAAAAAAAAAAAAAAACTTACATGATTAATATCAGAACTAAGAACATTTTTATTTGAAAATTTCTACTTTTTTTTTTAGGTTGATATATTGGTTATTTGTATCTCCTCTTTAGTTGTCTTAGCAAATATATGTTTATAACCACACTGAACAAATGGGGAGATGTGAGAAAGGTGTGTGGAGACACTTAATGACAAGACAAGTAAATCATTAGTGATCATAGACAGGGTTAACAAACACTTCTTACATAAAATAAAAAAGAGATACTAAGATGAAGGATTTATTTGCTTAGTGCCTCTTTGAAAAATGAATTTATCATAAAATTTCCTACTAACAATAAAAAAACATAATAACAAAGGAATGTTATGATGAGAACAAATTCACAAATTGAGAAAAACATTTAGTAAAAGTTACAGGAATTGCCAACAGTAATAATGTAAATGACAAGTGCAATTCTGGATTTACTCATTATCTGAAACATTTATACATATAAATAGGTATATATAAATCATGAAATTCAGATAAAAGCAGACATGCATGGGGTCTCTTACTTGATCTAAAAGTGAAGGGTGAAATTTAGATCAATTGGGAGCCCAACAGCTTAAGTACATGACAGTCCTGAGAGACTCTTCAGCCTTTTTGAGTTTGTCATTGTTGTGGGTTTTGAAGGGAGGTGTAGAAGTTGAGAAGAAGCGAGCCTGCTTTGAATCCCTCAGAGTCTTAATGGTTGAGTCACACTTTGAGCCTTGCTCTTTCATGCTCTGAACCATCCTCATCCCACTCTGGTATATCACCCTGCTCATGTACCTCAAACTCATTCCCACAATCTACTAACTTATATATCAACCAAATTGCTAAACAGATCAAAATAACTTTCTGAAAAATTAAGATTTGTCAGAATCTTATAAAATGACCAAGTTCAGGAGATATTTATAAAATAAGCAAGGTGGGACTAAAAAACATGGGGTAGTCATCGGAGGAGAAGGTGGAAACAACCAGCTGTGTTATTGGCCAGTAAAAAGAATGAATCTGTGGGTTAATGTAAGTCTATGGGCGAAGAACACGTGTTGCGTGCATGGAGTGGAAAGAACACCTCAGATCTTTGAAAATTATCCTTATATTAAATGTTCGTTGCTTTTATGGAGATTGACTACTGAAACGGTTATTAGGGTGGGAATGAAAGAAAAGGGACAACAATGGAAGAATAATTTGTTTTCCTTGTTTTGGTGATGTTTTTTCTATCTAACTAACTCTAATTAAGTAACACCTTAAGAAAACTCTTAAATCTTAAACTCTAATTAATCTATTCAATATATCCCTATTTTCTATCTTAGGAAACTCTTATACCCTAAATTTTTGTTTTATTTTATTATGTGAACTGAGATAATAATATTATTTTTTCATCAAATAAATATAATAATAAAATTACGATAATATATTATAAATATTTCTATTTAGATCTATATAAACTATTTACCTATTTATCTTTAATAATATTTAAAATTATAATACATAATTTACTGTAATTATAAAAATAAAAAAAATACACAAATTGTTCTTGAAGGAATGATAGATCCTACAAGTAACATATGAAACACAATTTTGCATCTAAAATAAAAAATAATATATAGTTTATTGAAAAATATTTATAAAACTAATATAAATATTAAATTTTAATTCATTAAATAAAATAATTTCATAAAATATACAAACAAAAATATAAATTTATATTATTCATAGGAATTTATATATATATATATATATATATATATATACTTTTATTCAACATTATGAGAATTATATATTCTTTAATGTAATATCTATAATCAATTGTATAATAGAAGTAATGTTAATAACTATTTTGTTAATCTTATTTAAACGTTATTAATATTTTGTTAATTATCTCTGTCAAAAATTAATTATTGATCTTAATAATTATTTTCATAATATTTTATCATTAGTTTTTTTAAGTATAATTGTGGATGGGGATAATTGCGGATATTTCAATATATTATTATTTTATATTTAAAAAACAGTTACTTTCTTACACCTATTTTTATATATTACTATTTCCTATTGTAATATTATATTTATAAAAACAGTTATTTTATAAATACAGAAACAACTATCCCTTGTGTTTTTTATTAGTAAATTATAAATAAAATAAAATACAAAATATATAAAGTAAAAACAAAATACACATATTATATAATTAAATATAAAATATGTTGCAAAATATTTTTCTTTAAAAATTTAGTATAATATATTTTTATCTGAAAATATTTTTTAAAATAACATTACAATAGAATTACTTATTACAATTTCAGGTGTTATGTGAATTAAAAATTTGTAATTTATAAATATAAATGATTGGTATTATGAAAAAAACATCATTTATTTGTTTATATCAAAATTATATTGAAAATGTCAAATGCATTAGTATCATACATTTGTACTTGAATAATTTAGATTAAAATTTATTTAAAAATTAGATGATAATTTTTAATTAAGAAAAATCATGTAACATTAAGATTTTATTTTATTTTATCGTGACATCAACATTTATTGCAATTTTTTCTTTAAAATAATTTCATTTATTTTAATAAACCTTACATAGATTATGTGCATTATAGTTGACAAAGATATATAATATATATAATATCTATGATAGTTTTATTAAAGATGAAGGATGATTTTTTTTTCTGTTGCTTAAATAAGATGATATTAGTTTAAACTTGAATTTAATCTTTATATACTATTTAATAATTTAGAGTGGCAAAGAAAAATAAAAGATGTAGATAAATATAACTTGCGAGATAAAAAGAATGTAATTATCCATAAAAAATCAATTGATATTTGATTCATTTTCTATTTAACCTTTTATTAGATTTTGTATTAGTCAACTAAAAGCTAAAAAAAAATTAAGTATTAATGATATAATGACCCTCTTGAATTTTGTAATAATATACATAATTCATTATAATTAAAGATTAGTAAAAATATTTAATAATTTAATATACTCAAATAAATTCAATTAACAATAAAGTTGTATTTATTTATTTATTTTTAATATTTTACTCTAAACAATTATTTATTCTTTCAAATATTTTCTTCCGTTCTCAATTAAAATTTACATCTAAATATAAAACACTGTCAGAATAGTTTTTTAAAAAATTAACAATTATTTTAATCATTAAAGTAATGATTTAATATACTTTATTCTTTGAAGAAATGTGAATAATATTTTTATTGAAGAGGTTTGAATGAAAATAGATAATAATTTAATAAATGACACTTCTGAAGGCATTCAATTTTTTATTTTTAAAGACTAAAATAAGAATATAGTATACTTTCATAATACCAAGGACCAATTCATATTAAAAAAAAAAATGTAATTTTTTTATTTGTCATCACCAACCTTCTCCTTATCCATTGTTTATTATCTGTCTCTGTGGAGAGAATGGATATCCTATGTTCACAACTCTCCCCCGTCCCATTTTTTAACGGTCCCGTCACTCGGCGTGGAAGATCTGCAACGTTCCGCTTCAGTATAAGGTCTCCTGCATTCTTCTCAAAAGAAAACTCTTTCATTTCAAAATCCTCCATTTGCCCTCACTCCGATTTTTGCAATTATTAGGGCAACCCTTCCATTTCCGCACCAAGAAGCTAAATACTACAAAGAGCTTGAAGCTGCTGTTCACGTAGTTCAGAAGGCCTGCAATATCACTCTCCATGTACTCTTCTTCTGTGCACTTAATATTTGTGTGTACTTGCTGAATAATGTGAACAGATTCTGTCTGCACTTATATTATATCTGCATTGTTCTTTTTTAAGTATTAAAGCATCATTAAGTAATCACATTGGCCCCGGAAACCAAGCAAATGTTAAATAAGTCTTATCAAACAAATCCATGAACTTAACTCTATACTATCATTTAGTATATTAATATAAGTTAATATTTAGTAACAATTTTTTTTTTAATTTAGATTAATTTCACAACAGATATATATTTTCAAGTAATCTCTTTTAATTTCGTTTAATATAGGGACTAATATGACTTACTACAAGATGAGAGATCAAAATGACTGCTAACTTATTAAAGCATTGAAGAATGTTATGTGATTTGTGTTAACTGTCCTCACGCTGCAGGTTCAATCATCTTTGTTCTCAACTAATGGGAAGGTTATTGAGAAAAATGACCAGACTCCCGTGACCGTTGCAGATTTTGGAGTTCAGGCTCTCATAAGTTTGGGTATTAACTAAGTGTCAATTATAAAATTCAGCTTAATATATTTCTGAACTGTGATGCTGAATGAATGAAACCAATGTGGTTTAAGTGTAACGGATTTTAATGAATGTGCTCAATTATAGTTCTGCATTAATTGCTATTTTGTCGAGGGACATTACAACAATATGAACATTTTTTCTAAAGGACTAATCTCAGTGAAACTTATAAAAAGCCCATGAAATCTAATTGCTATTTTTCCCTTTTGGAATACCACTAAAAACGCAACATGGAATAAATCAAAAGTGTAATTGTAAGCACTAGTTTGCTGCAACATAGTTTACTTGTATTAATGTAGTATTATAATTAGCTTGTAGCCTTGAAAATAATTTATCGGAAGTTATTATTATTTTCATGGGATTGACAATTTTGGTTTTATCATGCATGGTTATAAAAACAGAGTTAAATAAGCTGTTCCCTTCTATACCTTTGGTGGCTGAGGAGGATTCTGCTTTCTTGCGATCAAGAAACTTAGCAGGTACTGTGTTTGATGCAATAACTGCTACAGATAGCTCCACCTGTAAATCATTGACAGAAGATGATATACTAGAAGCAATTGATAGAGGGAGCAAGGATGCTTTTGTATTTGGACCAAAGCCAGCCACATATTGGGTGGGCATATCTAAGCAGTTATATTACATATTGTGAAGTGATGCAGTATAGCATCTTAAAAATTTGGTTCATGGCTTCATTTTTTATGTTGTATTAGATATTTGTTCACATTGTGTAACAAGTCCCACATTGGGGAGGTCTCTTTACCAGGAAGGCCTTATAAGGTAGGAGGTTCTCCAACCTCTTGAGCTAGCTTTTGAGGGATGGTTCCCCTCTTAGCCTTATGATTGTTACATTGGTGCTTTCATTGAGAGCCAGCCAACTCGAGAAGGGCTACCCACGGAGCCTTCTGACGGTAAGAAGGCCGAGTAAATTGCCGGTGAATGAAGTGTCGTGGAGTGTGGCCATCGAGGACGCTGACTTTCGAATGGGGTGGTATTGTAACAAGTCCCACATTAGGGATGTCTCTTTACCAGGGAGGCCTTATAAGGTAGGAGGTTCTCCAACCTCTTGAGCTAGCTTTTGAGGGATGGTTCCTCTCTTAGCCTTACGATTGTTACACATTGCGTTCCTGGAGATAAGAAAATGGTGGTAATTATTTTTTGCTGGTTTATGAAAACTGTATTCTTGTACAAGTTGACTTCTGTTGGTCATTGGGACCTTATCTATTTACAGGTTGATATTGGATATTTATATATTCACTTCTCAGGTTTGGTTTTCCCATCATAACTTATGGTAAATTCATTGAATAAATTCAGCTGCTCGACCCAATTGATGGCACACGTGGTTTTCTAAAGGCTGGCAAAGCCTTTTATGTGGTAAGTCATAATGTAGACTACACTGTCTGAAATTCTTTTCATATAATAGTGCATAACAGAGACTTATCCTGAAAGTTACATCTGGAATAGCTCTTTGTTGTAGAGTAAACCTTGTGATGGT